GATTGTCTGCGCCCTGCCTGTTGAATACAACGCGATATGCCTCCTCTTTGATCAGTTCTGGGACGAGAATGGGGATGAGTACGGGCGAGCCACAGGCGATCATAATCAATACACGACCGGCTGCATCGGAAAGCAAGACATTGTCGTAGCTCTGCTGCCATACATGGGAAAGGCTCAGGCCGCAAGAGCCGCTACAAATCTCCGCACAAGCTATAACGCGCTTGAGCTTGTGCTGCTGGTCGGCATCTGCGGCGTGGTTCCACATGTCGCAGGTCGCGATATCTTGCTCGGCGACGTGGTCATCAGCAAATCTGTCGTCCAGTATGGTCTCGGTCGTCAATATCCGGATACCTTCGTGCGCAAAGATACGGCGGATACAAACCTCAATCAGCCGACGAGAGATATCCGCAGTCTTCTACTGCTGCTCGAGACCGACAGGGGGATGGATCTCTTGGAAGGACAGACGGCAGGGTACCTTCAAGAGCTCCAAGCCAAAGCTGCCAAGAGCAGGAGGCTCCCGAAGGACAGGTACCGATACCCAGGCTCCGACCGAGATCGCCTCTTCGAGCCAGCGTACAGGCATCGACACAGAACGGCCATGTCTTGCATCTGTCGTGACTGCGGCAGTGACTCCGAGCCGGTATGCGAGGAGGCCATGCGTCTCACGTGCGAGACCCTCGGCTGCGAGACATCCCATCTCGTGCGACGGGCGGGGATAGAGGAGATGAGAAATCTTGAAACGCAAGGCGGCCCGTCTGGGCAGAATCCGTCCCTCGTTGTGGGGAGTGTCGCTTCCGGAGACACCGTGATGAAGTCAGCCGCTCACCGAGACAGGATTGCGGCAGGCGAAGACGTCGTCGCCTTTGAGATGGAAGGGGCGGGTCTGTGGGAGGAGGTGCCCTGTGTTATAGTGAAGGGCGCCTGTGACTACGCGGATTGTCACAAGAGCAAGGAATGGCAACCCTTTGCGGCAGCGACGGCTGCCGCTGCGGCGAAGGCGGTCCTCAATCGATTCACAGCGACAGACAGGAGAGATACGTCGCCTGTCCAGGCAGGTCCTGGTCATGGTTCGGTAGATTGCTTGGAGCGGTCGCTGGTGGAAGATGGGCGCTGGATTAGCCGCAATCATGTGCAGAGTATCGATGGCGACGGTTCTGCGAGGATCCGAGTAGGGAATGACTGGGAGAAGGATGCTTTCGTTGGAGGAGGCAGCGAAAATCGTGCGGGGTCGATCAAGGCCGGCGGTCGGTCAGTCGTCCACATTGGCAACCGCTATGGCGGGCAGGGACAGAGTTAGTTACCCTACCCTGCGTCAGCCATGTCAGGAGACGTCAATATTCCGTTCTTTAGGTTTCGGGAATCACGGCTGCAGAAAGAAGTCTACCTCGTCCGCCTAGAATGGATGTTAGGGTTCGCGTTCTTTGCGCACGTGTACTCCCAGTACGGCGGAAACACCCGACGTCTCCCATTTTACGATGCCCACTACCTTGTCTCCCTTGATCATGATGTTTAGGCTACTTAGGTTCCCGTGGGTTGCCATTAGCCCGCTTTTGTACTGCTTGTAGAGCTACAACGGCTCTGGTAGGCCTTCACGAAGATCCGTAGAGACGACGTTGAGGTCGAAGCCTTCTACAAGGGCTGCGTGGAAGCCGCGAACCGTATGGTATGGTTCCCAGAGATTCCTCGAGGGCAGGCGACAGTCGCCGAATGGCCCGCCGTCAAGGGCGCCGATCTTGGTGCCTTCAGGGCAAGGCACCGTTCGAAGCTCCGCGAGCATGTGGCGAAATTGCTCGCGTATCTTTGACCTCGACTCCTCGCTGCGCTGGAGCCAGTCGGCCGCTGCCATTTCGCCCTCGATCTGTTCCATGACGATATAGGACTTGTCCTTGTTGACGAATGCATGGTAGACCTCGGGGATGGGGATCGATGTATTCTTGGCGACGAAGCGCAGCGCGTAGGCTTTGGAAAGACCTGCGCAGCCTTGTATCTTGACGAAGATGTTTAGCCTGGGCGGGAGACCGCGACAGGGCTTGCACAGCCACCGCAGCAGCCTGCGCCGTCGCGCCTTGACGAGGAAGACAATAGCATAGCGGGTGAGGAGGTTCGTCTCGAAGCTTCCATCGACCAATCTCTTCTCGCTGGCGCCTCGTGGCTGGAGCATTGAAGGCTGATGGGTATTACAATAAAATCATGGTACCGCAGCGTCACCCTAGGTGCCAGCACAAGCATCCAATACCGGTGATCTAAGACTGGGGAACTAGGATGCCATTTGCTCGACGATGCGCCTTCATCGACGAAGCCGTGGAGAAGCACCCAACCCAGCTGGAAGCCGGAGTAGGTTCGCGATGTGTTGGCTTGCCGCAGAAAGTTGAGAGCGACTGGGGCACGAGGCTGGTGCCGCTGCTGCGGTCGGATCTGCTCTGGCTTTGTGAGAAACCGCAGTGGCCCACTGGCTTTCAGGGCCACTTTGGAAAGCAAGTTTGTCTGGGGCGTCACGCGTGGGAGCTTCGGCGCTGGCGTGACGAACGGGCCTGCCTTGATGTCTTAGATCGTTGCGACTCGCGATCAAGGGCTCGTGCAGCGTCCGCATTTCGTTCGAGGGACCTCCGCAAAGGCCCTACCAAGGGGGCATCTTCCACCTCCTGTGCGACTACCCCCAGGACTATCCATTTGTTTGCCCGAAAGTCTGCTTTCTCACACGTGTCTATCACCCCAACATCAGCCCGGACGGACAAGTATGCATCGACGTTCTGAGCGGCGAGTGGCCGCCAGTGTGGTCGAGCCAGGCCGTCGTCATGGCCATCTTGTCCTTGTTCTCCGACCCCGAAACCGTCGATCCACTCGTCCCGGAGGTTCAATCAGGAACATTTGGGATGACATGGACCGTGACTCACTAACTGCGTCTCGATGTCTACTGAAACCTCCGAATTCGATTGATACCGAACGTGACACGTAATTCAGCACCCCTGGGGTCTTTATTCAAGCTACGAGACATGTTGAGGAGCATCTTGCGAATGGCGTGAGCGTTGTGGCCGAAGGTTGCATGAGCGTTGTGGCCGACCGTTGCATGAGCGTTGTGGCCGACCGTTGCATGAGCGTGTAGTTCATGTACAGTTATCCAGCAAAAGTGCATTATCGTTCATGAAATGAGTGATATGTAAATAATAAGCTAAATGCCTCGATGTTCAGGTAGCAATGACTCCAAGAGCAATGGTAAAGCGAAGCAGCGGGCCGCCGCCGCAACACCAAAGCACCGTCACAGCGACATCCTCGCGCTGCCATCACCCCGCAGGACTCACTATCCAACTCCTAGACGCCTACAGCAAGGCTGTCACAGTTGTGCGTAGCTGAGGTGACATCCAGTTTTGAAATCTTTACTATAGCCAGCAATATATAAGGGCAACGAGCCTGTGGATGACACGGTGCCTACCTCTCGACCAACCCGTCGTCAACGACACGTCAACTGTGACGGTGTTCAGTTTTTTATCTACGGAGAACCAAACTTGCAGCGTAGATGGCGTACAAGCTGGCCCAGGTTCCTTGCAGGTCGTTGCGTCTGGCGAGCGGCACTCAAAGCCGTTGAGGAGGCCCTCAGCCGTAAGCACGCTTCGTGACCTAAACAACCTTCACAGCCCTCAGCCTTTCATGGGAAGAGTCGGGTGCTAGGGAAGTTGGACAGATGTTAAGCTCTAGCTTTCGAAGCATTCCTTCTATCCTACGCCATTGTCTACAACCTCGACGAGAGATAGATACTCATTCCTTCATGCCCCATCAGCAAATGGAATACCCTGAAGAGTATGACACACATCCAAACCAAGAGGACGAGTCGAATCATCCTGTGCTCCGTAGCACGAGAAATTAATAAGAATAGCAAACTTGTCTTTCGCTCTGCTTTTGTTTAGGGGTCAATGAGCTGACATTCTTGAAGCTTCCCGTTCATCAATCAATATACGGTATGGAAGGGCAGAGTTTTTGAATCGGCGAGACCTCACAAACGGCACCAGGTGGAAGTCGAAGACAGCAAAGACCCTGCCGAAGATGGTTACCGTTCATGGCGTCGTTTGGCGTTCGATGGTTTTCTTGAATAGGGCACATCGTGACGTGTGGGGTAGAATGCTCCGAGCCATCAGGAAAGTCGGCCCACACAACCCTGATGTTGTCGAGATTCGGCTTAGTTGACCTCCTCCACATCACGCCTCGTGTAGGCATGACGTCGCCAGACACAGGTAAAATATTCCGTCTTAGCATATGCCTACCCAAGGCATGATTAGGGAGCTGTGCGGTGATGTGGCCGTCGACATCGGTTCCATGAGAATGATAAAAGTGGCTTGGAAATCCATCTATAAATGGCTTCTTGAACAGGTCAGTGACAGTCCTGACCGCTATCCAGATTTTGAGTGGACCGTAGAGCGAGGCGCTCTTTGAATAATTGTTGTTGAATTACCATTGTAGTTTTAGTAGCTTCTGTGATTTGCAGCATTTGCAATCCAAGGGTTTATTGTCCAGTCTACTACTATGCATTAGCGGCAGGCTTATCGTCTGCGAATCTGCGCCTAGACGTCATTGGCCACAGCCGTGCAGTTGGCGCCCTTCCGCAGCGGCGTGACATCTTAAGGCGTGCACAGTGGCGGGGCAAACGTCAAGTGATCATACTCCAACGAAAAACAATATTTGGTACCAACTGCCAAGTATAAAGCAGCCTGCAGCCGTCACCACGGTACGGATAGTGAGCGTCTAATAAAGGGAGTGCGGAATCACACAATCCCCAACATCACCAAGATGCCCGCCGTTTCTGTCCCCTCCACCCTCAACTCCTTCACGGAGACTTGGTCCCCGCGCCTCATCGCCTCCGTCAACGGTCAACACGTCAAAATCGCCAAATGCGACGGCGCCTTCATCTTCCACTCCCACCCGGACTCGGAGGAGCTTTTCTACCTGCTCTCCGGCCGACTGACAATGGAAATCGAGGGCGACGCGGATAATGTGGTCATGTCGCCGGGAGATGTCTACGTCGTGCCGAGGGGCGTGCGGCACCGGCCCGTTTGTGAGAATGCGGAGATTATGATGGTGGAGAAGGCCGGAACGGTGAATACGGGAGACGCGCCGGCGGGAGAGAGGACGAGGGTGCCAGTTAATGTCACACAGCAATCATGATGGTTGTGGGCATTTATTAAGACTTTGATTGGGTGAAATCAGGAAACACGTCGACTTTGGCGGCAGACCATCCCAGATTGTGACTTGGGCTTTCGAGGGCTGCATCCTGTAGCGAATTGAATCCTGGGCTTGGCCAAGGCGTCAGTGCCGGTCGTAGGTAGCTAGATCGGCGCTGTTGCATCGATTCCTTCATCCTTCAAACAACCACTGACCTAGACACATCTCCAATGTGATCCAACTGCGCAGCCACCACAACCTCCTCGTCCATCGTGAAGGTCTTGTCCCCAGAGGCTATGGCAATTCCCTCCAGGGTATGTTTCGCTGTTTCTACGCAATAGAAATATGTAAGACCAACCGAAGTGAGACAGAATCCTGCGATAATCACATAGTAGTATCCGCCGATGCCTGCGAATGCTTCCGTTGCTGACATACCAATCACAAAGTTGAATAGCCAGTTGGAGCAAGTAGCTAGTGCCATTCCCTTGCTGCGCGCTCGCAAAGGGAACCCTTCAGCTGGGAGCAGCCACGGGATCGGTCCCCACGTGAATCTGTAGATTGCGTTATAGATGACGACGAATGCGTAGATGCCGTGCACGCGTACCCAAGAGTTTGTGATAGGGGCTTCTGTGAAGGCACAGATGACACAGAGTGCAACAGCCATAAGCGAGCCTATCAGATAGCACAATTAGTCTCGAACTTGAACGTACACATGCTGCGGAATTTGGCTACTAACCTCCAAGTATGAGAATCGGCGTTCTACCCCATTTATCGGCCAGCCACCAGGTGAGGATCGTAGCAGCGACGTAGGGAATCGAGTTGGCTGCAGTGTACAGAAGGGATCTCCGGTCATCGAGGCCTGCGCTGGCAAGAGTCGTTGACAGGTAGAACGATATGACGGTTATACCGTTGAGCTGAGCAAACATCTGGGCGGTGATACCAACGAATGTTCTTTTTCGGTAACGGGTGAACATTTCAACCCACGTCGACTGGCCCAGACTGGCTTCATATCTCACAGCCTCCTTGATCTCCAGCATCCCTTGTTGAATGTGGGGTTCCTCCGTGTTCACGTCAGGCGTGTGCAGATCGGCCAGCGTCTGGAGGCATTCCTGCGTGAAGCCATTGCGAGCAAGCCATCGCAGCGTCTCGGGTAGCGCAATGGACATGGAGAAGAGGATGATCGCAAGAATTTTGCTCAGGAAATGTCCGTACAGGCTTGCAAAGTCGGTAACGTGGACAACAATGTCGTGCTCCGACGCAAGGCGCCGCAGTTGCTCAGTGTCGTCCAAGCTTTTGAACAGCTCGGTTCTGACGCCGATCTTAGTTAGAACGTCGGCTTGGTCTTGAAGGCGCACAACTGCTGTGAGGTGTAACGCTCTAATGTTGGGATCCTTGGAGGAGAGCACTTGGGTCAGCACTGAGCCGCCTCTGTATCCCAGTTATTGCCGGAACTCTTTAGTAACTTGCTTAAAGAATCTGGGAACTTACACAAAACCAGTGGCACCAGCAACAAGAACTTGGCGAGGGCCCATTTTGTTTATTGTAAGTGTAAACGCTGAGGTTAAAGTTATCGCATGCAATATTGAGACACTGCATTCTTAAGTATCAAGCGAGCTCCACAATGCAAGTGAATTGATTTGAAACCAGGATATGTACTGCGAAGATAGTTTCCTGTAACTGGTGGATTGCCTAATCCCCGCTTCATCCACTTGGATGCTTGTTTGCTGTTACGAAGGACTTACGCCTCGGAATTGAGAGGGCATTAGGGACGCTTTCATGAGCCTATCTCGACGTCAATTGGTCAGAACGAAACAATCGTGGAAAATGGAGCATAATAGAGAGCATTCAATCCAAGCGACCAAGGATTCCCTTCGATAGAGAGATCACTCAGGAATAACGAATGTGTACCGACGGGCTGAGCACACGACGTTGGTGTTAGGTTATTTGTGAATCAAGGGCATGAAAACTTGCTGTAAATTTGATCTATGAATTGCTATTGTGATACCAAGGCAATAACCAATAGAAGAAGAATGCGCCAATGCAAGGTGTACCCGTTCCCTTGCAACTACTTTACAGATTGCTCCTGAAGAATCGGCCAAGTCTGTCAAATGGAATAAGCTCCACGCGGTCATAGAGATCGACATGGCCAGCACCAGGGACCCAGATCAGTTCCTTTGGCTCGGCAGCACGATTGTAGCCATCCTGGCTGAATTCGCGCGAATGAGCTTGATCGCCGGTGATGAAGAGCAAAGGACGGGGCGAGATGGTGTCAATTTCATTGACAGGATAGAAGTTGAGGAACTTGACTTGGCTTGCGTGCATCGGGTGTGTCATTGTACTCGGCAAAGCACCGAGAGGAGCCACCTCGCCGCGAGTGGTGCAGTAGAAGTCATGGAACTCTTGCTGAATAGGATCCGTAGCGTCCTGGCGCCTGTTCACGGTGCCGCCGACCAACTCGGGCTCCGCGCCTTCGGACTCGTTCCAACGCTGAGCTACGGCAGCCTCGAAAAGCTCCCGTTGGGCGAGTGTCTGCGAATTTTCGAGCCCGTTTCGGGTGACGGCGCCCATGTCGTACATACTGGCTGTGGCAATGGCCTTGAGTCGGATGTCGATTTTGAGATGAAAGAGCCACTCCCGCAGATACCAACACCACCGATACGCTCACGATTGACAAAGTCTTGGAGGCCGAGGTAGTCAACGGCGGCGCTGAATGCCTCCGCATAGTATTCGGCCGAGACGGCGTTGCGCGGATCGCCTTTGCTTCCGCCCCAGTGGGGGAGGTGTATAGAGACGGTGGCGAAGCCGTCCTCAGCGAGCTTGGTCGCGTAAAGATTGGCGCTTCGCTCCTTGACAGCGCCCATAGGGTGACCGACAACGATGACGGGATTCTCGACGCTGCGGCTCAGGTTGCGCGGGAGGAAGAGGTTGCCCGCGACGTCGGTACGGTACAGGGTCGGGAACATGATGGGCTGGATCTGGACGTTGTTGCTACGGTAAAAGTTGTCGGCTCCGAACGATGTATTCTGGGCCGTGACGGCCATGGTGTTCAGGAGCGTCATGACGTCAAGGGCAGCAGTGTGGTCTCCAAACATGGCGGTTGTGCTGTACTGCGGGCGTGGGTATTGAGTATTGACAGAGTAGATGGCTGTGGCTGAGTTGTGAGAGTTGGTCTCCTGAGCATGGTGCAATGTGACAGTACGCGGCGGTGCGTCGGCAACCTTATAACTATAGAGATTCCATGTGTCTATTCTATGATTCCAAGACCATGTAAGTCGTGTATGTCCTCAATCGGACCGAAGCCGCGTCAACTAATGTCAAGTCAAGTGCGTGAAACAGTCGTCATGTCAAGCCTTGTGAATCGTAACTTTGGAACCAAGATGTGGGTTCTTCATTTGACAAGGTCAGCGGCCCCAGTCGCAAATGCCGGCGTTTGGCGGTTAGCTTGAATAGACTTTGACATGCTCGCTGTATACAGAAGTGCTTGCATACTACTTGACGGTATTGAAAGCTATGTAATCATTTTAATGTAACATCGGGGCACCCACGTCCCGGCTCAGCCTCGTGCGGAGTTCCAACCATGTTAAACACGCTGGTAGGTCGGATACAGGGCATCACCTTGCACGAAGGCAGCTGATTGTACCGACCGGACGGATAGCCAGGGGCATCTACTCGACAATCGAGCTATACCCCAATACTAAAACCTACCGACAGGATTCCCGATGCCACAACCGCACTCAATGTTTCCACCTCCTTAGCTACGATTGACCAAAATGAATCTTCGAAGCATGCCGTCGAGTTCCAGATAGGAGGCTGCCACTCTTGATAGAAAATTGTGCGCGTTGCTTTCATATTCTTGACTAATTTTCCAACTCACAATACATCGGACTCCAAGAGCCTTTCGTTCCTCAAGGGGATAAATAGCGCCAAGTTGAATAAACGTCCAGCACCAATGCAACCTGTTGACGCCAATTCCACGCCCCATTATTAGGAATTCCATGCCCTAGGTGAGGTGAGCTGCAGCGCTTCATGCAACTAGCTTACAGTTACAGCTTCCAAAAAATGACACGAGGTTGTATCCGCTCGCTTCGCCTTCTCGGCCTTCCCCACCACAGCTTTTATGCATAAAGTTTTATTTTAACATCCGACTCGGATCAGCCGGGGTGGGGCTAACGCCAACGCAGCTGGCTTACAAGTTACGCCGGATGTCGGGTCGGGAGTTGGGCCACTAATGGCCGGTGTAGAAGAGCAGACTTTGCTGCCGCACCGCAGAAAAGTATTGATTTTCCTACACGGTTTCGGTCACACTTTAATCTGTGGCTCTGCCCGGGCTGGTGAGTTCAGTTACTCAACCGACTGGACGCGGCTCGTTGTTTGTCCGAGCGCAACCACCTGATCCCTCGTGCACAGCTCTATCCTCTTCACTCTCTTCCTCTTCGTGGTCCCTACATCAAGTATCAAGCAGTTGAATACCAATACACTAATAGATCTAGGCTCACACCGCGCTCTCGGCTAATAGACTTGTCAAGGTCCGGTCGAGGTCAATGGCATCCTCGAATCGTCGCAAGGATGGATAACTCTCGAGCTGCGGTCTTTGGTTGAATTCGTTATGACTTCCTATGTATGGATCGTTAGTTCGACTCCCAAAGGAGCTTAACACATACCCTCCGAAGCATTTTTCTTTTTGCGTTGTAGATCTCATTTCGGCTTCGGGTCTGACGATTCCAACAGATCCGTCGGCTGATCCAGGGGTAATTCCCATTTCTCACAGCGTCAAGTTCGAACTTTGGAATGTACAGGCCCAGATCCATCGAGGTCTCCTGCTTGGGCTTGGCTGCTGTCCTGCTCAGCGAAAGCGTGGGACGGTGAAATCTGATGCAATTCCAATGACTGGTCGATGTAGAAAGCATGATATATCATCGCCACTGAGGGAGGAGGCAGGAAGAGAAAAAGAAGACAAGGATTTGATCAAAACCGATCTTGCAGAGCGAGGTGAGGTCCTCAGCAAACCTTAACATCGATGTACTATTATAATAGCCGGTGTCCGGAAGACCACAGTCGTGGAGTCTGAAGTGTCGCCAGCAACACTTTAGTGACAGACTTTGATTGAAGATACGAGTTGGCTGTTGCTGAATCCGTGTCGGCGCTATTTCCAGGTCTCGGTTGACGATACGACCTGGTATTGGAGCTTTCAGCGGTGCAGCTTTGAATTGTATCTTTGAATTACTGCTCTGAGATTGGTTGTAGTCTGATCTAGTCGTTGTATATTGCCTTGCCTATACGTATCTGTGTCTCTGCTTTGGCACCCAGTTCAGGCTACAGGGTATTTCAATCAGGCCAGATGCAGGGGTACGACTTGATTGATTGATACGAATTTGCACAGTATTTGACTGTTTGATATGACACTAATAAACATAGATCAGATTTAATAGACTTCGTGCATCACTAAATAAACCAAGAGCTAGATACTAGAGCGCCTTTTTATGAGGCCTGTGGTGATACACGTTGCGCAGCTATTTGATGCATGGTTAAGAGGAAGGTGATGGCCCTGAATCCCTGGTAGCCCCGAGTCACCAAAGTAGGCACATACCTCGGGGCCGGGCCGCGGAGCGGTATCTTCGCAGTTCTACTAACTATTGATTGAAAATGTAGAAGATGGACTGATTAGCCCGCAGCCTTGCCTTCGGTCCTCGCCGCTCGGTTACGGATCGTTTCGGATAAGGCGCTTTTCCATGTCCTTGGCGAGCTCCAGTCCCCCATGTCCCGGATTCTTGCCTTGGCTGCCGCGCCCCTCCGGCCAAGTCTTAGGTGGAGGGGTCCCTTGCTAAATGAAAAAACAGAGGCATGGTCGCGAGAACAAACACGTGTCGACCCTCTCCCAAGCCGACGGTGACTTTGTGGTACGTAATCTCTTCTTGATAATCAATCGCTTACATTGATCCACGTGTGCAGAAAATGGAGGAGATGGGCACAGTGCCTGCATGTGGGCACGCATCTTGGCATCTGCAAATATTAGCTGAGGGTGGTGACACCGGACGCAGGGGCAAGTCCCTCATCCTGGCTCTGATGTTCCCATTGCATGGGTGGAAGCTGATAGTATACATGGATAGAGTGGGGGTAATGGAAGCAGACGACGGGCTTTACGGATACACAAGTCCGAGTCTGCGTCGTAGGCCGAGTCGTAAGGTGTACAATTACTCTGCCGTGTGATATCATGGCACAGGTAAGAGCCAGAGGCTTGCGGCTACATGTCGTCTCGTGTCCTCTTATTTACTGTCGTACTCGACAACAAAGTCCTTGGTACACATGATCCCCGGCGTGGGCGCTGAGTTCTGCAAAATAATCTCCTCGCTGTTGTTATCGGAGATCCCTCCCCCGTAGCCGTCTCTTCCGTGGTCTGATCTCGTTCCCGCTGTAGAAGAGTCTCCCTGCGCATGTACCACCGTCCCACTCTTGGCGTGCATCTCGAATTCGTCGTCGACGGTTCGACCGCCCCTCCCCGTGCCAGTTTGTCCGCTGCGAATGCCGTAGGCGTTGCTGCCGCCATAACCCATGTGGCCGCTTCGGTTGTACGGCTGGTCTGATGGGTAGTAGCCTGCGGAGCTGTTGATCTTGAGCATGCGGCCGACTAGGGGCTTCAAGAAGGAGGCGCAGGCCGCGATGATTCCAATGTTGAGTTGCATGCTTTGGCGCGACAAATATCAGTATCTGGTCGTACACCATCAGTGTTTCTCGAGGACACTTACTTTTGCCAGAAGTGGACCCAGTAGTCGAAGATGGCGTCGGGACTGCCGCCAGTCGTGAGCATAAATACGGCTTTGAGCACACCCATTAGAACAGCCCTATGTATTTTGTCAGCCTCGGCCGTCCTCGCCGCGATGCAACTCTATGTTATCACCCCTAGAAGACTCACAGATATCCCAGGTTCAGAATGCCAATCACGTAGAGTTTGACGCGAAGCTTCATTTTGAGATTCCATATAATAGGGACCGGCAAGGCTCCGAGGCAAACATCGGTGAAGATGTTGCAAGCTTTCAATTCCCGATGTTAGTATCTGGACATGGACACTGTAAAAAGAGGACAAAAACTCACCAATGTTCCAGTATGTCAGGTTCAGGAAGATGTTGAAGTCGTGGCACCGCGGGTCAAAGGGGTTCATCCACTGGAACTCCCACCATCCGGAGAAAGGGGTGCAGTACACGAACAGCCAGACAATGGCCTGAATCGAGTATAGCACCACAAAGGCTAGAGGTGATGATGTTAGTCCCGACAAAGTTGTTGAACAAAGATATGAGAAGAATCGCGAGTTTCGTACCAATGACAGCGTAGAGCGACCACGTATACCATTTCAAGTCTCTCTTCAAACGCATCAGCGAGAGGGCCATGGAGATCCTCAGCAGTCCCATTGCCACCCCGTCTGAGAAGACAGTCTTCCAAAAGGTGATTTCCTCGAACCTTTTCCGGTCGTCAATTGGTGTAAAGGCGGCATGCTTGCCGAGGCCGTACTGGGTCTGGACAACGAGGCAGATCCAAGCACAAAGTCCAAGCAGCTGCAATAAACATAAGCCGTTAGATGGTACCCTCCGTGGGGACTGAAATGAGCACAGCGACGTACAGCGGAGACAATAATGAGTCCATCGTCGACGCCAAATGCTCTGACCATAAAAAGGCGCGCGTAAACGCGAAGGGCCACGAAAGCAAGGGCTATGAAGTGGAAGACGGCAATGATGCCCACGATGCGACCAGCGTTACTCTCCTCGGCGTAGCCAGGAGGATAATCATTGGGATCGGGCGTCAACGAAAGCGGCGGCGAATCGCCCATGTTGCTCTTTTCTTGTGCGATTTGACGTTCTTCGACGAGGTTGAAGTGGGAGAAGACTCAGAAGACTGGAGTTTCAACTTTCAGTTGCTGGGCCCTTGTCCATGATCTGGATGGAGCCCTGGTATCCGGGGATGGCGGAAGAAAGAAACTAAGTGGTTAATCAAGGGGCTTAATATTGGCACCTTCCTTCTTAGTCCGTGCTTCCCGTCTTCAGCTGGCTATAAGCACATGCAGCTTGCATTGGACCTGCAGGCTGCAGCCAACCAAGTTGAACCGACGCGAACTTCAACGGCCGCCAAGCCACCACGACTCTGGTCAATGACTCAATATATCCAGCGCAGGCGGTTCCTCAATGCAGATCTACTTACTTAGTCTTCTACTCAATCTAACCCGGCTATTTTTACCTTATTGAATCTATTTAGTCCACGTTGATATATCTAGGTAGGGAGCTGTATTTCTTTTGATACCCTTAATAACGCATATTGAGTGATAATTCGTGGTGTTTTGTTACGAGTGGACGGGAGCCTTTGGATCGGCAGGTGGGTCCCCTGGTGGCACATGGTTCCTACCCCACCCACCTGACCCACCTGGCCGGCCGGGGACGCGGCTGGCCCCCCTGCCGAGTGCCGGGTGTGCTCTCTGGAGTCTGGGACCAAGGCCCGCCCGCCATGGCCTCATCAGTCATGAGATTTTTGAACAAGTCGAGTGTCTTGGAGCCTCATAACAAGAGTCAGTAAGAAGCCTCTCCTGAGTCAGACAGTAATCCGATCTGGTGTCCTTTTTACTTAATTCCAAGGGCCCTCTTTCCCAATCCACCCGCATCAGATTCAGGCCGCAGATTGAGTACATATGATTGCCAACGCTGAATATACCATCGACGACGCAGGGATCCATCCCTCCATCTCGGCCTTCTCGGCCACAGACAAGGATCTCTAATATAGCCTAAACCTGGCGCTGAGCTGAGAGGACCGGAAGAGGCAATGGCCCGGGTTGAGATCATGCAATTCAATTTCTCGTCCACGTTGGCTGCACGATCGTGGAGCACGAGTATCCGTACCGACCGAGCAGTATACTTCAAAAGTGCACCTCCTCCGAGGTCGTTCTGAAATTTTTTTCTCTTGTCGTGGCATCAGTACTTCTCAGCACCGTCGTGGTATTGCAGTCGCTTCTCTTACTCGATTCAATCTCTCGCCCTACTTGACACAAGCGGCCTCGAAGACGCTTGGGACTATCCATCGACAAGAATCCCGACACTACAATGCGTGCCACGCTCGTTGCGGCCACGACCCTGGTCTCAGGTGTCGTGGCAAAGAAGGAATACTGCACCAAGACCATCAAGAAGGATGTGGCTATCATTGGCGGTGGTGCTTCGGGCTCTCATGCCGCTGTCTGGCTGCGCGACCACGGCCGCACCAACGTTGTCATTGAGAAGGCTGAGCAACTCGTGAGTCTACGCTCGCCCTCTTCCTTTGGCGCCGTTCACTGATCATTCTCCCATTATTCAGGGTGGCCACACAGACTTTTACAAGGACCCCGTCTCTGGCCTGGATATCAATGTCGGTGTCCAAGGGTGGATGGAGTATGGGAACGGCTACAACTTCCCCCATCGCATGGGCATCCCGACGACCGGCTCCATGTCCTTCACGCCCAACGAGAACTACTTTGTCGACTTTGAGTCAGGCGAGCCCGTCGAGGGCTACCAGGCCCCTGCTCCCGACGCCATGGTCGCTGCTCTCCAGACGTATCTCGAGGTCCTCTACAAGTACGAGGACTACATCCTCCCTGGCTTCGAGAACTTCCCGGACCCTGACGCCATCCCAGAGGACCTGACCATGCCCTTTGGCGACTTTGTCGCCAAGTACAGCATCGAGGCCGGTGTCCCCCAGATTTGGGATGCTACCGCCCAGGGTCTCGGCAACACCATGGACGTCGCCACCATGTTTGTCATGCAGGCTTCCGGCGTCCCCATGATCGAGGCGTTCCTCGGCACCGCGCAGTCCGCACTCCCGCCGTCCGGCCGTCTGTATGACTTGTACGACGCCGTGGCCGACTTCCTCGACGAGGACGTCTTGTACAACAGCACCGTTGTCAAGGCCACCCGCGAGAAGGGCAAGAAAATCAGCCTCCAGGTCCAAGACCACGGTGACGACAGTATCACCTGCGTCGAGGCCAAGCGCCTTCTCATCGCCATCCAGCCGACCATGGGCGCCATGAAGGCTTTCGACCTTGATCAGCAGGAGACCGACGTTTTCAACAAGTTCGGCTACGCCACCGTCTACGCTGGTGTCATCCGCCACCCCTCCCTCCAGCCCAGCAATGCCTATTCCCACCGTCTTCCCGGCCCTGCCTCCCTTAATTATACCGCCTGGCCTGTGGCTGCGCAGGTCGGTCGCATGGACTACCTCGGGGGCACAGAGGACCTATACCAGTTCACCGCCGTCGGCACCGACCAGGACACCCCCGAGAGCATGAAGGCGCTCATCGCCGAGTCCATCGACACCATGATCGCCGCTGGCACCATCCCCGCGTCAGACGGCGAGGTCACGTTTGAGGCATTTGCCGACCATGGCCTGATGCACCCCCGCGTCTCTGCCGAAGAGCTCTACGATGGTTTTATCCAGAAGCAGGTCGCTCTCCAGGGGCACCGTGATACCTGGTACACTGGTGCAGCCTTTTCCGCCGGCTTCTCGGCCGTGGTGTGGGAGTATAATGAGAAGGTCCTGCCTGATCTTGTCAAGGGGTCTTACTAATGTGTCGTGATGGCTTGATGATAGACGCTAGAATATAATTGGTAGTAATTCACACTTATACAAACTTCTGTCTGATTCTTGGTTCATCCTCACACCGAGGAAACCGGGTACGGAAAACTCATTCTTGATGAACAGCCGCCTGATCGCGTGCAATACCAGTACCAGACGCAATGTGTCATTCAAAAATCTAGAAAGAAGGAAACAATCCCACAGCATGGGATACCCTGTCGTCCACGTGGTCCTTGCAGCTGACTGCATAGTGCATCGGTTCATCATGGCGTCCCTGCAGTTCACGCCCTTCTGCATGAGCGGTACCGGGGCAGTTCCCTCCTGATGCCTCAAGACGAAGTGTTCCTTTTCCCCCCCACCAGTCAGTCCTTCAAACCGCGGTTGAACTGATAAGGATCTACCATCAGAAGGAAATGGCCTGCAGGAATCATCCCGATCATGTCCAGAATCTCATCCACTCTCGCCTGCCGTTCCAGCTGGATGCTGGTTTTTGCGGAACACCTGATGAACCTGACGATCTCGTTTCTGCCGCCAGATGGTCTTTTTGGTAGAGATAAGCGACGCTGGACTCACCGAGATGCTACGCCAACTGTTGGAACATGCTAGTCATGTCGCGGGACTGCATCGCCCAGGCACACCGCTGGTGCCAAGGGGGGTCGGGTTGTGTGGTAGCCATTCCGGCTTGTGACCCCAGCAGCTGCGTTACGTGGGTGCCATTTCATAAGCTGAGCCGGCCTCGGCAGTTTCTCAGGCCTAGCGTGTTCGTATGTGTGTGCCGAGAGAATAGCTCGTGGGCAAGCACAGCGATGAAACTATGGCCCATGACTCTGGCTCGCCGGCTAGGGTCACGTGGTCGAAGCAGTAGTGATGTCTTTCACAGAGCTGTGTCATGTCCTGACGGCTGCTTATAGCGGTGCTCCCTAAAGTTCCTAAAGGGACGCTCTATCATATCAGCCCAGGGCAGAGAGGCAATCATCTTACGCGAGTCGGCCAGCCGTCCTCGGACGACGGAGCGTGTAAATCGTCCCCGGGAAGTGGCAAGTCACCCAGGGTCCGCTGCGGCGTCACAGCTCTCACAAAATTGGCGCGAGAACACCAAGTTCTTCAAATTTCAGATGTAAGATGGAGATGAGGAGTTTACGTTGGATAGTTGGCGGGACTGGCGAGACTCGAGATTTGAGAGTCAGACTGAACCACAAGAGCCCTACCGTTTGCAGCCGAACGGAATGCCCTCGGAATGCACTCGCAGGCCTATGCCACTGCACCGTAGCGTACGAGACCAGGACTTGGGTTCTCCGAACTGACACGAATTTAATATACATGTATGCATGTGGTTACTTAGAGGGCAGTCGCCCACGAATATATCTGAAGTCCAGTTGAGCAGCTTAAACAGAGGCTACCCTATGCCACCAGACCCCGTGCTGTCTTTGCTGCTCCTAAAGACGTCCAAGACCATAGCCTTCACTCATCCAGAAAGCCAATCGAACATCCGCAGTGAGTCTCAGTGGACCTTCGTCAGATGAGTCTACATCTGGATTGGATTGAATGATATTAACCGCAGATTCAAGGTCTTCATTTGAGAACCCTGCCTCAATTCTTGCGAAACAGCTCATGTACAATAATTTACACAAACCAAACATGAACAGTCACAGTCCAAATCTCACCCCCGGAGATACAGGCAGAATTTGTATGGATACAATAATATATGCTCAGGCAGACTTTGCGTGCGAAGACTTCAACTAATCACCGTAAAGGTTCAAGTTGCAAGGCGACCATGCCATCCATATACGATACCCTCAACCTCAACGACAAGCTTTGCCTAAAGTTAATTTCGACTTCCTTACGTGCTACGATGTTTTCACCCAAAAAAAAAGAGTGAATCTTCCTGAGACAAATCCTCCTTCTAGTGGACAATTACAATTGAACTCAGTAGCAATACCCGGACAGCCTAATTGATCGTGGCGATGGGGATGCCGAGTTGGAACATGGACATCGCGGGGAGTCGCCTTCACTTGCTCGATTACGTAGCTGTCACAATTATGCATAAACCTTGATGGATTCACCGATAGGCAAAAGTTCACCTTCACTTTCATCCTTTGCAAGGATAAGCCTCTGTCGCTGGTCCAATGCGCCACCCCATTGGCCCAGCCCCCAGCAAAGTACTGGAGTCGAAGCATGCAGCGACAGCTACCAAGCCGTGGAACGTCAACGACCTCCCTAGTTGGGGATAGTGGTGCGAAGCTCTCAGCACGAACCCCCTCATTATCATCATGATCAGCATCATCGCGGGGACGCAGCCCAGATTATAAGCCGTATGTACCCTCGCTCTGCGAAATATGTCGCTCTCTCTTACGCTTTCACACCTGGCAGACTCTTGCAATATTTGGGGCTAATAATCAACGTCACCAAGTTCGCAAGAATCAAAATCGCCATGCGCCTCTCTGCGCTGCTTTCCGTCGTCACTGCGGTGGCAGTCGCCGCAGCAGAGACCATTCCCGCTGCCGAGCTCGTCAGTAGCAAGGCTCATATCGTCCCAGGCCCTCTGCGCGTCACCGAGCTCACCTTTCGCGTGCCATTGGACTATGATGACCCAGAGGGCGAGACCATCACTCTGTTCGGCCGGTCCGTCACCGGCTATGAGGTCCCCATTGTGCCATCCGACGATGAGGACGAAGGCTCCATGTCTTCGCTGCCATACATGGTCTACCTTGAGGGCGGCCCAGGTTTCGGCAACCGAGAGCCCCAGAACCACCCTCTGACCAGCACGGCACTCGAGCGTGGCTACCAAGTCCTCTACCTGGACCACCGCGGCACCGGCTACAGCACTCCCGTGTCAGCCAAGATGCTCGACCAGCTCGACGGTGGTGAGGATGCGCAGGTTGAGTACCTCCGCCTCATGCGTCAAGACAACACCGTCCGCGACTGCGAGTCTGTGCGCAAAGCCTTGACCAAGGGCATGGCGGACAACCAAGCCAAGTGGTCCATCTTTGGCCAGTCTTACGGCGGCTTCGTCAGCCTGAGCTATCTCTCGTTCCATCCCGAGGGCTTGCGAGAGGTCTTCCTCACCGGCGGCCTCGCTCCCGTCGGCAAGACAGCGGAGCAGGTGTACGAGTCGCTGTACCCGCGCGTCATGAAGCGGAATGCCGCCTACTACAAGAAGTTCCCCGAGGATGTCAAGAATGTCCGTCAAGTCGCTAGCTACATTGAAAAGCAGGGCGGCAGCGTCGACCTCCCAGCCGGAGGCAGTCTTACTGTCCCCCGTCTCATGACGATTGGCATCGACTTTGGCGGCGCTGGCGGCTTTGATAGTGTCCACACGACTATTATGAATCTGAAGATGTCTCTGGACCAGTTTGGGTTCCTTTCTAGGGCCTCTCTGGCACCCATGGAGAGCTTTACTGGTTTCGACACGAACATCATCTACGCCATCCTCCACGAGGCCATCTACTGCGATGGACCCGGCGACGTCTCTGGCTGGGCTTCTGATCGGGTTGCCAGGGAGCTTAACTTATTCTCCTGGTTGTCCTCGAACGGTACTGTCTCGTCTAACTCGAGCGAGCCCCTTCTGTTCGCTGGCGAGAACATCTTCCCCTTCTTCTTCGACACGCATCCCGAGCTCATCCCGCTCAAGGGTGTCGCCAACAAACTCGCCGAAGTGGACGACTGGACGCATATCTACGATATTAAGCAGCTTGCAAAGAACGAGGTACCCGTGTACGCTGCCTCGTATATTGACGATCTGTACGTCGACTATGAATATGCCAAGGACACTGCAGCCCTGGTTAAGAACACCAAGACGTGGGAGACAAACGCTTACTACCACTCGGGCTTGAGGACGAACACGGATGCGGTTCTCTCAGCATTGTTCGGCCTACGGGATGATGTAATGGATTAGGCTGCGGTACTAGCGAGTCAATATATCCATAATCTTTGTTGTCCTTGTGACTATACCAGACTATTCAAAGGACGCGCTCGATGATGAATCTCTCTTCAATCAGAGGGGCCAATTTCGTAAACAAAAGCGAAAACGGAGAGAAGGACCTAGCTCAGACAAATCTCCTATCGGACACTTCGTACACCTGGGGCTCTTCCGGCTCACCATCCAATCATAGACCATCAGAGCCAAGAGTCACCGCGCTGGGCTCGAGTCAATGTAGATGATGATGGGCTCGGACATGAGGGATCGCTTGTCCTCACCGCTGTAAGTGCTGGCTTAGAGGCGACGACAAGATCGCGGGTCACAGCGACGCCGTGGTGAAGGAGACTTTGTTTTCTGTGTATTGTGAGGTGTCGTATCCGGAGAATATGGGCTGTCCGTAGATCTTCTTTGCACCTAGGGATGGTAAGTCGGGGGGGAGGGGGCGTTACTTGGTCAAGTCGTTTCTGATAGGATACTCACGATAGATGGCGCCAGCAGTATAGATCCAGCTCAAAATTGGAATGGCACCTTGATCCTCGAGTGTCGTGATAATCGAATGTGAGGAAATGTTTCCCAACGCGCTAAGGTTGAGTGGGTTGGTGGTTAATGCCGAATCTTCCACTAACCAGCTGGTCAGCACAAGCAAGAGAAAGATTGACAAAGCTATGCTCACAGGTAGAATGGCGATGCCGTGGAAGTCCCTCCAATCGTCTGGTCTTTGATTCTAAGGCTCCCACCGCCGTCAACGAGGCCGATGCTCAGATCATGCAGTCCAAACTGAGCTCTCTGTACGTATCCGAGGTTGGCCTCCAGCCCAACTCCATCGCCGTTGATCTGGAATATGCCTAGCGCCTACTACGTCGACGAGTCGTCCAGGTTGAATATGTCTCCTCTCGAAACGGCACAATCCGCTGGCACATCTTCAAGGGCGGCTTTCGAGCACCCGTGCTCCGCCAGGACGACCAGCGTCTCTGGAGCTGCTGTCGAGACGAAGACGCGCAAATCCTGCTCAAGGCTGCCCACGCGAATGATTGTTGAAGCTACTCCACGGCCCATCGTCCCCCCCGTTGTTTTCTTCGTCAGTCGTCTATCGCATACGATGTTGGGACAGTGTTACAAATACTGGCTCTGCGGGACAACGACGGCCGACGGGGTCCCTCGACAAAGTGAGATCAGCGCCGCAAGTCCCGACACAACAAGCGAAGGCAGTCGGGAGCCTCGGCCGACCATCATCGTGAGCTGTGTTTTTCAACGAGATAGTATGATGGTAGCCTCGTGGAAACACTGGATACAAAGACAGAAAGCAAGTGTTGCTTGAGGCTCGGTGCAGGCCCAACCCCGACTTGCATTCAACGTTACCTCATTGCGTGTACCAAACATAAAGAAACAATGTGGAAAGCCCTTAAAGAATACCTACTCATTGATTGCTAAATCAATACCCATGTGCGTGCCCGGCTTCGCTGATACCGTGGGCGCAGAGGGTCTTGTCCGACTCTTGTCCGCCGGCATTGTCAGCTCGCGCCTGGCGACTCGCGACTCGATTCGCGTAGAGATTTCGCAGGTGTACCAATTATATTGATACCTGACATTCACTTCCCCATTGTAAACTCCCGTCGGGCGCACATAAAGAGGGGAATGGTGCCGAGAGCCGGGAGACACCCTGACGGGGCGCTTGAGGCTGAGAGGCGCCATGCAAGGCAAATAACTAGAAGGAATTTCGGGTCAGCGAGTCTCGGACAATCTTCCAGCTTGCATCTCCAGTACTTCTCTCATAGCTAGTCTCACTCGGTAGCTAACGACATCTTGTTTTCCGTAGAAGTATGTCTCGAGGTCCCAATGCAAGCGCCTGGACTGGTCAATGGCAAAGACTACACGGAACAGAGCACAAAACTTGCAAAACGAAAACATGAACCCACAGTCCGATCACTCTCTACTCCTCATCGGAGATGAGACAGCCTAGTCGGCCGCCGAGCGGCGCTTGAGTGGTCCAGCCTAGATACATGTATTAATGGCACGTCTTGTTGGGAGGTAGCAGGGCTGAACTCGATCTGCCTCTTCTGCAGAGCATCTAGACCATCACCATGGTTTAGCAACCATATAAGATCGGCCCTCCCGCCCGGAATAGAGGCAATCGTCCGGGCCCCTGCATGCGATGCCCGGCAAGTTGCTGCTATGCGTTATCACGAGATCAAAACCTTTGGCGAAAAGGTTTGCTTGTCTCCGCTCGTCATCTCTGCTCGTTTTTCTTCATTCTCGTCCTTCTTTAGAAAGCGTCATGTAAATACTCTCGTTCAAACACAATGATGCTGGCTGTCTACCAAAAGGTCATTAGGGCTGCTCGTCCTGGCAGCGCAGAATGTGCACGGCAAATGTAACCATGGGAGGGCTCAAAAACACGCCGTTGCCCACCGTCAAGGAGAGAGAGATCACTGGCACACTGAAGCCGCTCCTGTTCCAGCCTCGGGCAGCGAGAGTACCACCACGACAGAGGCGTCGTCGACCATCACCCAAGCACCAGCCGCAAGCCTCGCCATTCCCATCAACACTTGCTCGTACTGGGACAATGGTTCTGGAACAGCCCATCGTCCCTCATGCAAGTCGCTTTTTTAACTGCGTGGAGTATGAGCAGTCGATTCTGACCAGGCATGGGCACGCCGCCACAATTGATCAAGTGCTTCGGCCTACAACGGGCAATCTGATGTATCCTTCTACCTTCTACGACTCTAACAATGACTACACGTTGTAATTCAGCTGTGCACCTGTACCAAACAAGAGATCTCGCTCACCGTCCACAGCACTTCCCCCTCGGTGTACGTTGTAGTCAACACGCTGTAGGGTAGGTAGCACGTGAACCACACCAACCACGTGCATTCCCGAATACACGACGCTGCGTAAGGCTGACTCGCAGGCGCTCAATCCCTCGCATCTTCGAACCAATTGCTATGCATGTCATCATCAGCTCCCCCACATCGCGTCCCGTGTGTCATAACTGAAGTTTGCACTAGACGCAGAAGAAAGCCCCTGGGCACGCGCCGCGCACCTGCGGACCCAGACCCTGCAGGACCAGTTCGTGGGCTGTGCAAGCGAACGCCAAGTCCTAAGCGACGGCATCAATTCCATCGAAGCAGCAATACCCCGGTCACCCTGATCGCCCAAGGCGTTGCCTCGGGTCGCACAATGACATCAAGTGTGTGTGAGCGACATAATAGTTAGGGGCGGCAGCTCGGTGGTCGTGAGGGGTCCGTAATAAAACAGCACCACCTCGCGTTCTGCCGTGCGACGACCTTGCGCACTGATCCTTTCGACATTCGTGAACTGGCGAGAACCTCCATCCCGAGCGACTGACAGCAATTCTACGCCTTAGTCAACGTGCCGAATTGCGAGCCGTCTCTACGACACCCAGAAGTCCAGGACTGTCGACCTCCCCCACCCATTGTCACGCCACCATGAATCCTCAGCAGCCACCGTACGGCCAACCCCCCCAAGGCGGCTACCCAGGCTACCAGTCTCCGCAACCCGGGCAGCAGCCTCCCCAAGGTCAATATCCTCCCCAGGGACCGCCAGGACAGTACCAGCAGCCGTACGGTCAGCCACCGCAGGGCCAGCCTCCCCAAGGACAGTACGCGCCTCCCAGCCAGCCTCCGCCAGGCCAGTATCCTCAAGGCCAGTATCCTCAAGGCCAATATCCTCCCCAGGGACCACCTGGGCAATACCAGCAGCCGTACGGCCAGCCTCCTCAGTACCCTCCCCAAGGTCAGTACGCACCTCCTAGCCAGCCTCCGCCAGGCCAGTATTCTCAGGGCCAATATCCCCCTCAACCACCACCACAAGGCTACCCAGGCCAGCCTCCTCAGCAACCTTACTCGCCTCATCCCCCGCAGGGCTACCAGGGACAGCCACCACCACCCCAGCAGTATGGACAGCCCTACGGCCAATACCCCCCTCAACAACATGGCCAATATCCCCCTCAGCCCTACGGACAGGCACCCCCAGCCCCTGCGTCGCAAGGGTACGACCTTGCACAGAAGCAGTTCACGCAGCATGTAGACACATCACCCGACGTGGAGGCCCTCCGCAAGGCCATGAAGGGTATGGGCTGCGACGAGCGTGCTCTGATCAGAGTTCTCACGGGACCGAAATATTCGAATCCGTGGGCCATGCAGCAGCTCGTGGACGACTATAACAAGCGTTTCATCCGGGACCTGCGCAAGGACATCAAGAGCGAGACGCGGGGTACCTTTGAAGACGCTCTCCTAGCGCTCATACGGGGGCCCCTCGAAAATGATGTTCGCACGCTCGACGAAGCTATGGATCGTGCTGGGACAGACGAAGTCGCCCTCGCTGATGTCCTGCTGGGCCGCACCAACGCTGATGCCCGCGCCATCGCGGCCGAGTACAAGCGCATCAAGGGCAAAGATCTCTTGACGGAGATCAAGAGCGAGGTCAACGATACCCTCTTCCGCCTCTACAGCATGGCCTTGAGCGGCGCCCGTGCCGATCCATCCGCGCCCGTCCACCCTGTCGAGATCGACACCAAGGTCACCGAGCTACACCAGGCCACAGAGGGCATCATTGGCGCCAACGCCATCTCCGTCGCCCAGATCCTGGCCACCTCCAACGACGCCCAGATCCACGCCATCAGCGAAGCCTACCAGCGGAAGTACCACCGCAATCTGCAGGACGTGATCGAGAAAGAGTTTCGCGGCGATACGGAGGACGCCCTGCTGCACATGCTGATCAAGGCGCGAGACAGGGCCAAGGCAGATGCGGACTGGCTCCGGGCGCCACTGCTGCGTAAGTCGGGGACTAAGGAGAAGCACTTTATCTACCGGGTCACTACGCTGTACTGGGACAGGTCACGCCTGGAGGCGGCCAAGGATGCGTACGAGAGGGAGCACGGGAGGAGACTGGCAACGGATGTCAAGGCATATCTCGATGGCGATTACGAACATTTGGTAGTGGCTCTAATCGGCGGGAAGAGCTAGAAAACGGGACCTAGGTTCCCCTTATTGCTTCCCACACTGACAGATCAAACTCGTGCCCTACTCTCGCGACCCTAGCCATTCTTAGTCCAGCAGGTCTGCCATGCATTTCGCCAGAATCGAGCCTTGCGAAGGACTCAAATTCAGGGTAAGATACTCGTCAAAATCAGCAATCTCGCCGCGTAGCTCTCCGCATATCCAATTCGACCCGAGGAGCCCAGCGCGAGAAGTCAAGACGCGCGTTTGCATCTGAATCATCTCCACGCAATCGGCCAACTTGCTCTCATTCGAGCCGCCCCCTGCCAAGCGCTCGTGCAGCTCGCAGGTGAGGCGAGTGTTGCTAATCCCACAAGTGAACCTGTCCGTGAGGAAATCCAAGATCTGGCGGCACGCCGTGTAGAACTTTCTCTGACGGATCCTGTCCTCCCTGCGGTCGAGCTGGAGCACCTCAAGGTCGAGCGCGTCGACGGCCCAGAGAGTGTTGTCCTGGATATGGCCTATGACACCCGGAAGGGCACCGGCGAGAGTGGCACGGGGGATGCGATGCGTGATCAATTCCTGGCCCGGTGCGCAGATGGCGATCAAGTCTTGGTGCGGGTTGGGGCTTGGTGGAATGCTCGGAGTGGCATTCTGACTGTTGAGGCTATTGCCATGTCGAGTACGGGCTCCCTGTTCGACCCCCCCAGAACGACCGTTCGTGATGGTGATCATCTGATAGGAGGCCGCCTGCGAGGCAGGCAAGTTGGAGCGGACGGGTTCATTCAGCTGACTGCCGACTCGGGGTGGTGGAGGTCTTTGTGCCCGGCACCCAACCTGGCTGACGCTGTCGGAAGGATGGACGGTGTCGTCGTCGGAAGCCATAGTAGAGATCAGAGATTGCTTCTAATTTGATGTTGGAAAGACAAGAACAGACGAGAGCGATGCCAGCCTGGTTATATCGTTGTCTGTGGGCGACGTGAATCACTGTGATCCGCCTCTGAGAGCGCATTATCACTGTTCGAGTGATCAGGTAAAAGGTCATCGTATACCACGGATGCCAAGTCAGTCGACCGTATCATTCAAGAATGCTGGGAACTCTGTACACCGGACGCCTTCACCCAACTATCCCCCAAAGAAATCCAGGCTGCTGGGACATGCCTCGTCGTCACTGGCACAACTTCGCTTGCTCAACAAAACGCCAATCAGTCAATCAATCATCAAAAACTTGGCACAATAACAAGAAATCACCATAAAAGGACTCGCCAGCGCCAGCCCTCCAGGAGCTTAAAGTCCCTGTCGTCAATGTCGGGGTCGCCACGCTCGATCCGCGCGGTCAACTTGCGCACCCGCTTCTGGACGGTCTTGGCCACCCGCAGCGAGACTTCATTCTGGAATACGTACAGCACGGCGAAGACGAAGAAGGCCATGCTCGCGAACCCGCCTTTGCCCAGGACGCTGGTTTTGAGGTAGGACACCAGCCCTTGGGACCGCTTGAAGGCGTACTCGGTGTCATTGGCGGCGCTGTCCGACTCGGGATCCGAGCCCCGTCGGAAGATCTTGCGCACAAGGGGGACAAAGGAGGCACTGTTTGCGTATCAGGAACATGAGTGAATGAAAGTAGAACAGAGCTGCAGAGACGTACATGGCTCCTCCGAGTAACCACTTTCGCCATCGGTGGTTCTCGGCTTCCTTCACCTTGATCTTGACCTCGTCCTGCAGCTGACGCAGACTCGCGAGCACCATGCCCTGCTGCGTGCGCAACTTGCTGTCGAGGTCGAGGCTGGTGGTGCTCGCGTTGCCATCGTGGTGGATCCGCCGGCGCTGCAGGGCCTGGTATTCGCGCAGGTTGTACTGCGTCTGGCTGCGCAGCTGGCCAATGTCTGTGGGCTGGGGGAGAATCGAGGTGAGAGGCCGGCCGTAGTTGTTGGAGGCACGGGGCACGTCGAGCATGCTGCTCGGATGGTCGGGGATCTGCGCGGGCGCGAAGCCCACCTGGGGCGCGGATGTGGTCCTCGAGAGATGGGGGCTGGTCTTCATGCTGTCTTGGAGTTGGGGTGAGATTGGGCGAGGCTCCACGGCCCGCAAAGACCCAGAGTTGTCCATGGTACGTATTTGAACAAGGACAGGGCAGTATGTAGATCAGTTCAATTGACGTGGAAACGATAGCAGTGAGGGCGAGTCTGATGAGAAGGCAATCTTGATGCGCGAGGTGGCTGGGAGTTGAACTTGGGCATGAGTGACAGAGTGAGGCGACTGGTGCTTGAGAGTGAGTGACAGCGGGGCAAATTCAGCCGCCTTGTCCGCCACATGCGGCACCAGCCACACGCAATGTCGTATCGTGCCTCAGGTCACTTTCAACGTCTCCCACCTTCGTACATTGGTACAGATACATCATTCAAGATTAATTGGGTCTGCGCTAGAGTCCTCATATCGCTAGTGACGCTGGTGAACAACACGAGCAAAATCATTTTCCGCATCGTACCCCGCAGGCACTCAATCTCGGCTCACCATCCAATCCGTCTTGACAAAGATGTCGCCCGTGTTCTTGGGCGGGCTCGTGCTGGCCGTCAGGTTCTTCTCCGAGTCGGATCCATCATGGTCGACAGCCGACACGGAATTGCGGTGCACCCCCTTGCCGCGCGGGTAGTAGTTGCCCATCTCCCAGCCGTCGTTGCCGCGCGGCCTCGAGCCCATGTTCCCGCTGCCGCTCATCTCGTTGGCGTGGCCCCGAAAGCCGCTTGTCCTGTCCTCCGACTCCTTGAGCCGGGAACCGCCCATGTGCTTCCTGTAGAGCACGTAAAAGGGTCGAAGCATGGGGATGCTGATGCAGAGGATGGCGAGGTTCGGCTCGAGCGTGAAGAGCAAGACGGTCGGGGGCATGGTGCCGGTGACGTTGTTCGCAAGATCCACGGTCGAGAGGTAGATGAGACGGAAGACGGCGCAGACGACGCAGCTAAAAGAGGAACAGAGTCAGACCTGGGGCCAAGTAAGTGAGGGGGAGGATGGGTAGACGCACGCGATACCCAGACTGAAACTGGCCGTAATACCGAGCTTGTCCGTCTTGCGCATCTTGAGGTTCCACACGCTGTGCATGGGCAACAGCATGATCACCACGTCGCCCAACGCATTCGTGCCGATCAGCGACTTGATCATGGGCATGTACTCGCCGCAGGTACCGGCACCGGTCCATTGGGCCGAGATGGGCTTGCAGAGGAAGATGCAGGCACACAGAAAGGCAATCGTCCACAGGGCGATCACCCCAAGTAGGATCTGGGAGGATCGCTGGACCCAGGGATGGACAAAGACCCGGAGGTAGAAGAACAGCATGCTCGCCTTGGTGGCGGCTAGAAGCAGGGTGTAGCCTATCTGCATGCCAAACGTCAACTGCAGGATGAAGGGGACGTTCAAGGCCACTGGAAGACATTAGTAACCAATCTCTCTGGAACAAGTACAGCAAAGAGCTTACAGTCTGGGTGCTCTGGCAAAGAGTACCCGTTGCCCACGGGAGCGACTATGATTCCTGGTCAACACTAGCTCGTGGTCGGCGTTTCTTGTCTCAAGGCGACCTACAAAGTCCTTGGCATACGAGCATGCCCACGCCAAGAGGCTTCCCATCCGTTAGCGACCAAGCCAGTGCATCGTGTCTGTCAGTCTGGACATACCGTCGCGATCAAAACAAAGACATCGTCCCATCCCAGGCCCGGTCCCATTGACCGCCCAATGACGCGCAGCGTGACAATGACCAGCACAAGGAACACAATGACCGAGTTGGCGATGATGTGGTCGCGAACGTGGCCGAGAATCGGCATATACACCTCGGCTCTCACCATGATGGATGAGCGCGCGCACGTGTGTCTGGTTGAGCAAACAAGCGGAAGAGACAAATGGTCAAACGACAACAGCACCTTTTTTTTACCCGCAAGCCACAGCTGAGAAAGTGGGAAGTTGAAGCTATAATGACTTTTCCAAGACCCCCTGTCAGCTCCACGTGGTTCCACACATGGCAATGAAGAAGGGTGAGCCGTAACGACTGATGAAGCGGCGCCCCAAACTACGGACAATTAACAGTGCCTCAGCCGCTCACCTTAATGCCGGGCTGCAGTCCCGGCAGGTTTTGAATCTTTTGATATCCACATCGGGATCCATGGGCCATCCATTCGCGAGTTCGCGACTACCAATCTGTGATCTGTCACCATAACTTTTGTCGAAAATGAATGAAATGTCGAGGGGTCCAGGTTCGCGTAGCAAAAAACTTGCTGCTGCATAAATAAATGGGCGGACTCCAGTCACAGGGCTTGCCATACAGCCAAGTCAGGCCTATCCATGACCCGGAGTCAAGCCAGGACTCGGGACTCAGGAGCAGGACTCGAGGCCCACCTGAAGTGGAATCTGAGGGGCGACTGACTGGGTGAAAATGTCAGCCGCCAACTGCCGGAAAGGTGAATCTCCCCCGCCCTCAACCGCCCATGCTTGGCCCATTGGCCACGCCGTGACTGGCCAACAAGGCTCTTATCGACAGTCGGTCGCCAGGATATGCCGCGTTTGAGAAGTTCGGCTCGACTGGCCACATTCGTCTGTGGGCTCAACTCCAAGCCACAGCCTCCGAAGAACGGAAGGTCACAAATCCGAATAAGTCCGGGACACCGGGTGGACCTGGCGGAGGCAGCTGGCTGTCACTTGCACATAAGTAGGCTCGACGCAGCGTTGCATCGTGGACGGACGGTAACGCCTCTACTAGTGCCCGTATCCAAACAATTTGCACCATGACGACCCAGATCCCCACGACGACCAAGCAATGGACACTGGCGAACAAGCCCACCGGCGCGCCTGTCCTCCAAGGTGAGGATGCGACATTCAAGCTGCACACGGCCGTCAATCTGCCTGAACTGCAGGATGGACAGATGCTCGGCCAGGTGCAATATTTCTCCAACGACACGGGCCTCCGCAACTTCATCCAGAGCACCGTCGCCCCGGAGCGCTTCTACGTACCCACTGTCCCCATCGGATCGCCCATGCGCTCCGGCGTGATCGTCAAGGTCATCCAGTCCAAGTCGGAGAAATTCAAGCCGGGCGATCTGGCGCTCGACTTCCATCTCGGCACCTGGAGCGAGTATATCGTCCTCGAGGCGGAGCAGAGCCAGCCCCTCGGCGCGCTGCCCCCTGGCGTGCAACCGACTCACTTCCTCGGTGCCCTAGGTGCCTCTGGCCTCGCCGCCTACTCGGGTCTCCACTACGCCGCGCAGACCAAGCCCGAGCACACCGTGGTCATCTCCGTCGCGGCCGGCGCGACGGGGAGCGTGGCCGTCCAGATCGCCGCCAAGTTGATTGGCGCAAAGAAGGTCATTGGCATCGCTGGGACCGACGCGAAATGCGCCTGGGTCAAGGACACGCTGGGCGCACACGAGTGTCTCAACTACAAGAGCCCTACCTTTGCCGAGGATCTGAAAAAGGCCACGCCCGAGGAAGTGGATGTGTACTTTGACAATGCGGGCGGCGACATTCTCGACCTCATGCTGACGCGCATGAAGAAGGCGGGCCAGATTGCCGTGTGCGGCGCCGTCAGCCAGTACAACAACGACCAGCCCATGGCGCTGCGCAACTGGTTCGAGGTGGTGTCCATGCGCATCCAGATTCGCGGCTTCATCATGCTCGACTACATGGACAAGGTGCCCGCGATTTTGGGCGAGTTGATGGGCGCTATCGGAGAAGGGAAGCTGGTTCTCGACGGCGGGGAAACCATCGTCGAGGCGCGGATCGAAGAGCAGCCAGAGATTTGGTCGCGGCTCTTTAGTGGCGGAAACCAAGGAAAGTCGATTACAAAGCTCTTGGTGTAGAAATTCGAGTCATTGGGAAAAATTCTCAAGTGTTGAGTCTACGTTCGGGAGATCAGTGAAGTTCTAGAAATCGAGGTGAGACTCGCTGTGAATCGTGTGATGACGAACAGGGAACGTCACGTGAGGGGTCATCCCTGCGTCAACCTCAGGCCATCACATCTTCACCTTTCAGTGTTTCTTTATTAGTGACGCCGCAACGAACGCACAAACCCTCCATCATTTTCCACACAGTACGACCAAATCATCAATCATCTTTTCCCCCTGCCACAATGCGACCTTTGTCCCGCAATGGACGGCAAACGCAAGCAGCCCCACGATGAGCCAAAGACGAGAGCGGAGCCACATGAGGCTCGCGGCAACAGTGATGTGAAGATGCAGTCTCATGAGCCTGCGGACCCGGGAAGGCGATGGAATGAGCTGTACGCGGATCCTGTCGACTTCAAAGCACTGGCGCTGCGGGATGCCGCATTTGCTGCAGTGTGCGTTTTTTTGTTTTGTTTTTTCTTGCGTTGGAAAGACGTCGACTGACACGAAGCAGGGTCAAAGGTCGCGAAGTGAATTTCAACGATCCCAAGGCCGTGCAGGCACTGACAAAGGCACTACTCAAAAAAGACTTTGGTCTCTGCCTTGAGACGCCCGATGATCGGCTCTGCCCTCCTGTATGTTCGCACTCCCCGGCACATGCCTCCAGCTGACATTGTCCAGGTCGCGAATCGACACAACTACATCCTGTGGCTCAAGAAGCTTCTTGACTCTACTTCCTACGAGCCCAGGCACGAAGGTGTGCTGGGTCTGGACATTGGCACGGGCGCAAGCTGCATCTACCCTCTGCTCGGATGCACACAACGCCCATGGTCCTTCATCGCCACTGGTGAGTCCACCCGCGCGATACGGCGAGCTGTTGCTGACTCTGCAAGACATTGACGCCAAGAGTCTCGAATTCGCACAGAAAAATGTCAAGCGCAATGGCCTCGACGCGAAGATCAGGCTGGTCCCGCGACAGCCTACGGACAAGCTCATTCCGCTAGACGACTTGGGCATCGACGCCATTGACTTTTGCATGACGAATCCGCCATTCTACACGTCAGACGAGCAGATGCGGAAGAGTGCCGAGGCCAAAGACAGACCGCCCTCGACAGCCTGCACCGGTGTAGCCGTGGAAATGGTCACGGCGGGCGGCGAAGTTGGGTTCGTGAAGCGAATCATCGAGGAGTCCCTCGCGATGAAACACCGCGTCGGGTGGTACACGTCCATGGTCGGGTTTCTGGCAAGTGTCATCGCCATAGTGGAGGAGTTGCGGACGCACGGGATCCACAACTACGCCGTGACCGAGTTTGTACAGGGCAACAAGACCAGGCGATGGGCCGTGGGCTGGAGTTTCCGGACCATGCGTCCGGCGCAGGCCATTGCTCGGGGGTCGGCGTCTGCTACGTTGAGGGCATACCTCCCGGCCGTGGCGGAGGCAGAGGTCGCGAGGTTGGGGCTGGGCGGGTCCATCAGCAAGACGGCAAATGGTATTCGTGATGCTATTGGGGAACTTGACCTCATGCATTGGGCGTGGGACCAGCAGAAGATGCAAGGTACAGGGCGCGCCGCAGATAATGTGTGGAATCGGGCCTGGCGACGGAAGAAGAAGAAGATGGAGATGGAGGGCGATCACATCGACGTGCGGGAGCGACAAGACGCGGCCTTTGGCTTCGAGGTCTGGATCCGGGTGGGTACGCACGAGATGGTCGTGGGCTGTCGCTGGCTGGAGGGGCACGATGCAAAGATTTTTGAGAGCTTCCAAGGATTTCTCGCCTCCGCTGCCAAGGCACACGGGAGTTTGTCGAAGGTGAATAATTAATCGCCGAAGTGGTGACTGGAGCTTTTGGGTACCAAGTTCCGGCAGACGCTACGGCAAATGTCCATCGAACCCTGCTGCTATCAACCGTTGTCCGGCGTCCCACACCTCGTCTGGAATCCCCTGTTCCATCTGAAACCCCTTTCTCGGATACTCGCGAATCCTGATTAAGTCGCCTACCATGATGTTGATAATCAAGTCCTGCGGGTTCTGGTCATCGCAGTACTCGGCAAAGTCATACTGCGGCGAGGTCACGCTGAACTCAACGTCTGGGCCAGGCCACTGCTTCTTGAACGTGGCAAATGTCCTCCTCTCCATGTACGGCTTCTGCACCAGGATGAAGCTCTTGACGTCGATCTGCCTCCTCGACAGCAGATCGAATGTGAAGCGCACGTTCTCGCCTGTATTCGTCGACGCAGGCTCCACGAGGATGGCCCCGCTAGGGACGCCCATGTTCCGCGCAATCATGGCAAACACCTTTGCTTCTGGCTCATCGAACCGTTCTGCCGTGAGTTTTCCGCTGCCTCCTGAGAAGATCAACAGAGGCGCCAGGCCGGCTAGATAAAGCTCGCTGGCGCGGGTAGCGACGCGGGTGTCGAGGCTGCAGAGACAGAAGATGGCGTCGGCAGGGTGCGGTGGGGTGGTGGACATGCGATGGTAATTGTACACCGCAGTGGCGTCGCGCAAGGTCTGGGGATCCATGGTCAGAGGGTGGGTCCTATCAACTGTAAGTCATGGAAGAATGTGACATGTTCTTTTCTAGAATATGACATGTTTCTTCGCATGAAGTTTGTCAATGAATTAATGACAAGCCGACGTTCTTGACTCAGCTCTCGCGCGGATGTTCGTACCCGCCTTAGCCCCGATGCGTATGGCCGATGCTGACGAAGCGCGCCTAGGCCAGGGGCTGTAGATGAGATATGCATGGATGTACAAGAAAGATGAGAGCTCGCATTGATCGCAGTTGCATAAATGCCGCTGGCCGAATGCAACCGAGTTCACAATGGAATTAGCCAAAGACTGTTTGCGTTCTCTTAATATTGCTGAATCTGTTTCATCTAGCTGCTTTACAAGTTAAGAAGTGTGGTTCCAAGCAACCGACAATTAATGTGCGCAGTCTCGTGAGACTCTTTCTCACATGGCGAATCAATCTCTGGGAGAGACAGCCCGCAGCCGCAATGTGAGAATGGCGAGGTCTAGGCTAGGTCATTTTCTCGACTGCCCAACGCACCCAAACGGTTATCTCTGCGACGGTCTGGTCTCTCGGGCCCGAGTATGTATTGTAATCATCAATGCAGGCCGACAGTCTGGCCGCTGTGACAATGTAGTTGTTAGTAGTACGTCCTCAGCTTCCCCGCGAATGCCACGCCATTCCCCGCAAACGTGCCTCCCACATCGCAGCCATGGCCTGCCCTGCCCGAACCTACCCTCTCAACAGGCCTGACGGTCACCAGCCGCCCGTGCCTAGATGGCATCTCCGTTTTGATGAAGATGTCCAGACAGTTCACATACTTTATTTCGGCGTCCAACAAGCCAGCGACTCTCTTGGACTCCGGCCTGCGGCCGATGCCATTGTGCGAACCGTCCGAGACCGGATCTCGGATTTCGGATCATATCCGTCACCAGCAGCTGTGGAGGAGTTCGAGGTCATCGACGCAAAGTCCCGCAACCGATCACATGTGACCGTCGCATATTGGACAGAAGAAGAAGCATATCGCCAGTTTCTGAACTCCTTAGCGTTGTCAGACATACATGACAATGTGCCAGCCGACCATCGCTCCCAGATTGGCCTCTGGCTCGAGACCTTCTCTCTGCCCGTGACTCGGCTCGAGACCAACTACTCTAGTTTGGACTACCTGCCAGGATTGGCCCGTCTGCCAAAGACTCACACGGAGGATCACACGCTCACTGCGTACTGGGGTGCGGCGCGCGACAGGATCGATGCTTCGGCGCACGATCCCTTTTCGCCCGACGAGACATCTCCAAAGAAAGTCGCCGCGAAGGGAGCCCATGTCAAGGGCAGCAATGCAAACAACCTCGTCCATATACGGACAGGGCAATTTTGGCACAACTGCGATGAGCAGGAAGCAGAAGCGTACGAGAAGAAGCTTGAGCCGACGCTCGAGAAAGGGCTATATTACCTCCGCGAGACGCCATCAGCAGGGGCAATGGGTCTGCGCTACCTGCGAAACACCGTCCCCGTTGATGACAGCAGCACCCTTCGCAAGGAGACCTGCGTGACGTGCTTCTTCTCCAGCCTCGACAAGCTCGAGGGCTGGGCCAAGAGCCACAAGTCGCATCTAGCCATCTACAACGGCGCGATGAGGCATGCCAAGATGTTTGGCGCCGAGAGGAAGTTTCGCACATGGCACGAGGTCGTGGTGCTGAAAAGGGGCGAGGCAAAGTTTGAGTATTTGAACTGTGAATCCGAGGAGGGAATGATGGCCTTTTGCTAGGGTCTGAAAAGTGACGCGAACGATTTGATGATGGCATGGGCACTACCACAGCAGGAGTGAAAGAAGTGTATGTAAACACATGTTAGAGCGCCCACTTACTTCTTATGTTGTGACTAACACATATTCACGCCTCCGCGAAAAATTTAGCGCTACAAGTACATGGTCAGCCTAACCGGCCCCGCGCCGACCACGGCGCTGGGTGATCTACGTCGAGATAACAACTTGACTCAGCCTTAGAGTCACAACGCTTCGGGTGATTAAGAACGCACATTGCCACATCTCGAGCCTCGAAGTCTTCCACTATTGAGTGCACCAGATCCCCTGGATCCCCGTGTCATCAAAGCCTCACAAGCCACAAGCCCAAAATGACAGTTGATCATCAACTGCCCATCCCGCCGGGCGATCGGGTTCCGTCCCGCGAGGTGCCCTTCCCACCTCACGCACCGATCAAAGGCTCCTACGCTCATCTGGTCCCATTGCATCTTGACCACACAGCTTCCCTCTTCAAGCACATCGGTGGCCAGGACAACGCTACCCTCTGGACATTCATCCCCCTTGAGCCTCCTCTGATCCCTCCCCTGACGGAGACAGACGCAGAGGCCCTCGTGCGGAAATGGACCGCGTCCAAAGACCCTCAATACTATGCCGTGCTGGATGAGAAGGGCGAGGCTCTGGGTGTCCTCTCCTACTTAAACATTGTGCCGACCCATCGTCGTATCGAGATTGGCTGGATCGTTCTGGGCAAGGCGCTCCAAAAAACGAGGGTCGCGACGGACATGTTCTACCTGCTGATGAAGAGAGTCTTTGAGCTGGGGTATCAACGTGTAGAGTGGAAGGCTAATTCGCTCAACAAACCCAGTCTGGCGGCTGCCGAGCGGTTGGGCTTCACATACGAGGGGCTGTTCAGGTACGTGGAGAGTCCTGTTCGAGAAGATTCTTGCGACTAACCGTGAAACAGAAAACATGTGATTTCGAGTGGTGTCAGAAGAGATACGTCCTGGTTCAGCATCACTGACGATGAGTGGTCGGGGGCGCAGAAAGGTTTCGAAGCGTGGCTGGATGAAGGCAACTTTGACCAAGAGGGCAAGCAGAAGCGAGGTCTCAGGGAATGTCGCGAAGAATAACTGGGTGGAAGAATACATGGGCAATGAAGAATCTACAAGATGTCATCATGGGATGTTTGCCTGTCACATCTACTGCAGACAACCGTCAATCAAAACTCAACCATCCCTCCGGCGATGCCGACAATATTCTCCTCTATGGCTGCCACAATCTATTCCATCCAAAAGTTGGCTTCTCGCCCGAAACCATGTGTCTAGAGAACAGCACGACTCAGAAAAAATGACCACGACTCATCCCCCTATAACTCTTCTTCTTCTTCCTCTTCCTCCTCCTCCTCGTCCTGACCCTCCGCCTTGCCCTTGCCCTTGCTGCCGCTCGCCCTGTGCTCCGCCGCCAGGGCAAAGTCGCGTCCCTTTTTCAAATTACATCGCTGGTTGTCAATCTTCTGGTTCAGCTCCCCCATAGGGTTGTTGGCGATCCGTCGAATCCACCCATCGCCCATTGTCATGACGCTCTTGAGGACCTGCTTGGAGATACGCAGCACATAGGCCACGGCCATGATCCGACGCTCAAACGACCAGTGGCTCTCCTAGGCGCCATCGTTCGTTGTCCAGTGCACACAGCCCGCGCGGCCCTGCTGGCTCTCCATGGCGGCCTGCACGAGCTGCCACGACAGACACTCGGCTGTGAGCGCGTTGCAGCCACGTCCGAGGAGATGTTTGTGCTGCTTTTCTAGACACGGCAAGACAATTTCGTTGGGGGATATGAGATCCGGGATCTCGAGGGCGTTGGAGGTCGGCTGGATATCGGAGTTGGGGTCCTTCTTGAGATCCTCGTGCGCTTCGATCTTGGCCACGAGCTCGGCGCTGCGTTTCTGCTTGGCCTCGCGGGGCACGCACTGCATCCACTCGATATAGCGCGTCCAGTCAAGGATGGCGTTTTTTACGAGGCCCACGTAGCGGATGTAGTCCTCTTCCGACTGGGGAAAAGTCTTGTCGACGTCGAGGACGTCATGGACTCTACCGCAGGGGAAGCTACATTCCTGCGTGCGCTTCCGGTACATCTCCTTCAGACAGGTCAGGTTGGCTTTAAAGTCGGACGGAGATTCAAACGTGACGGGGCAAGGGGCGGGCACAACGCCCGCGTTGATGTGCTTGATCAGTGCCTCGGATTCAGGGCCTTCGTTACGATGGTAGATCTTGGGCTTTTTCGACCGACTGATGGCTTGCGGCACCTCGGAGAGATCAAAAGACGCTTTGCGCTTGCGTCCGCAGGGAGATGCCTCAGAAGGGAAATCCATTGATTTATCCCCGACGGTCGATGGGCTGAAGCATTGACCGGGCTGGCTGTCCTGGTGGTAAGAAGGAAGTGCATCCGCATTCGTCATTGTGGCTTCATGTTCTGGTAGAATCTGTTGTCCTTGGGCTAAACACCAATCATTCATAATGGATAGTTGATGCGCCTCAGGACATTCAATTGCTGTGTTAGTGTATGTCCAGGAGCAAGCAAACTGCTGGGGCAGAATTTCGTTGGCGAGGTGGGCATCCAAAGCTGGCGGACCTTCACCATCTTGGCAGGTTGTTGTGGAGGCGTTGTCAGAGTCCCACCAGGCGGGATCGTCTATGGCGAAATGAACTTCTTCCGGGGCGAAATTCTCTTGATGCAGATTCTGATTCGGAGCATCAAAAGTGATCGGCGGCTCGGCGAACTGCACATTGTCAAAGGCGACGTCTCGTGCCATTTCTTCCTCTAGCCACTTGGGGAAATCGGGCTGTGCGGAGAGATCGAAACTTCCCAAGCCGCTCCAATAATCGACTTCTTGGAAGAAGGCATGATTTCCTTCGATGGGATCGAACGAAGCATCGTTCACTTCATGCTGCTGGCTACAGTCATCGTAGGGCTGGTCATGATTCTCCATTGGAGCAGCCGTGAGGATAGGGGTCTAGTTGGTTTCGCAAAAGACAGGCAGGTGACCAAGAAAAACAGACAGTCTCCCAGGCAATGATGGTGATAATGAGTGGCTGGTCTGCGATAATTGTGATGAGAATTTAGAAAGAAACGAACGACTTGGGCATCCACGCACAGTGTATAAGTGCCTCAGAGCCCACGCGGCCTAGTGACCTGCTCTTCCTCGTGTGAAATATGAACAGGCCCATCACTTGTGTCTGGTCAAAGTTTCCCTTGGTCTCTGTCATTCGCGCCACCACAATTATGTACACATTCTGTTCGTTGACAAGGCTGTGGTAGCTGTATGTTTGTCCCATGTGTGGTGCGAACAACGTGTCGTAGCGGAATAATTTGCGGGACAAAGACCAGGTTCTCCGGGGGACCTCACATGTCTTCCGTTCTTTGTCCACGGTTCATTCTCTTTCTCGCTTGTGCCTTGCACTGTAGATGGACGGTTCTCGAGCTCGGCTCGTTCCGAAACGTGGCAGCGTCATTCCGCGAATCCGAAAGCAGCGGCAGCGGAATCGACGTGACTGGAAGAGTCTGTCATGCTGGGCTGGGCCGACATGTGATACACAAGCCATGTAGTTCAGTTTGGGTGGAAGTGGATGTTCGTTCTGGAGAAGCGATCTGACGACATTGTTGTTCCTACGTTTGTGCCATTGAATCCGCGCCTGAAGTGATCGCCAAAATAGGAGGGCCATCTGACGATCGCAGACACGGACACCATGTGCCCGCAGCCTGCAGCCCTTGCAGCTTTCATCACAAGCGACCCAAGCAAGTTCCGTCCATCCTGCGGTCAGCCGCGGCTCAGAGCCTCAGACGCGGAACCGTCGTGATGCCTGCTGCAGCCTTCCCCGGATTCGAGGCTAATCACCCCACACGCATTCACAAGCGGCCGCTAGATCGAGAACTCTTCGCAGTGCTGGACACATACAGCTTGGGCCACATTGACGCCGTTCTCGTCCGCTCCAGTTTTCGGTTCTCTTCACGAATCAACGTGGCCTACCCAGCGGGCGTGACTGTGCTGCGTCGGATCCGATAGCGGTGCGGCAATCGGCGTCTTGACTCTCGACCCTGTCGAGGGATCCACTCTGCAATGACCCAAATCCAAGTCACCATGATGGAATGGAATGCCAGGGCTGGCAAGCGCTCCATTTCTTTGTTTTGTAGATTGGAGACGCATGCAGTAAAACAAGGCACAGTCTCACATTTGGCATCCTCTGGAAACATCAAGAGAATTTTCTGTGCGCTTTCCGCTTCTCATTCGAAATGCTTGGCCGGCCTTTGGCTTTCCGTCTCCCGTATCTAATGCCGACCGTCGATCGGATAGCTAGCCCCATCGATCCTAGCGCCGTGGGTTTTGGAGGTCACCGTGCGGGGTACTTACCTGTTTACGCTCAAAAAAAAAAAAAAAAGCCGAATGGATCGTTGGCCTCGCAAGTTTCCGTCGGCTGGCAGTGGCGACCCATGCTAGGCGTGTTTGACTCAGGAAGGCGCCATGATCCAAGATTCCAAAGCGTGCGCACCGTCGCTTATTGCTGCAGGAGGGTTTAGACCGCGGCTTCCCTCTGAGTAGCTCAGGTGAGCCGCATACCGTGTGGGGTACGGTATGTTGCGGATCTGCCTTCCTTCCTGCCAGCGTCCGTCATGTCTGGGGGTTTAAATTGCGTGGGCCGGCCTCCCACTTTTGTGATCCCAAGATTCTTCCCACACTGAATCCAGCATTCACGCCCGCCTGTCCGATCTCGGCAGCATTTGACGGAGAGAATAAGACTGCTGTTTCGCCGTCTCGCACGCACCGTAGCAACACTCTCATCCTCCGCAGTCACAGTCACACCAAGTGACCGACGACCATCATGTTTGGCTTTGGCGAAAAGAACAAGACGGAGGCGGGCAACCACAGCGTGGACGACACGCCCTCCAAGGCCGTTCACGACAATGCGGTGACCAACGACGCCAGTCTGGTGTGTCCGCCGCACACGACGGAGCGCAATCTCCTGTGGAAGATCGACTACCACGTCGTGCCGTTCCTGTGCATCATGTATCTCTTGGCGTTCCTTGGTGAGTCCGATCCGCAACGATGCGTAGCAGACAGAGGATAACCGTGACAGACCGCGTCAACATTGCCAATGCCAACATCTTTGGCCTGTCCGAAGAGCTCGGCCTCGAGCGCCACCAGTACAACACGGCGCTCGTCATCTTCTTCGTGCCATACTGCCTGCTCGAGATTCCGTCCAACATTCTGCTGAAGAAATTCAAGCCATCCGTGTGGCTGTCGATCAACATGTTCTGCTTCGGCCTCGTGACGCTCCTGCAGGGCTTTGTGCAGAACTACTCCGGACTGCTGGCGACGCGCTTCTTCCTGGGCGTCTTCGAGACGGGCATGTTCCCGGGCGCCTTCTACCTAATCGGCATGTGGTACCGTCGCCACGAGGCGCAGCGCCGGTATTCCTTCTTTTTCAACAGCACGACGCTGGCCGGTGCCTTTGGTGGTCTTCTCGCTGCGGCTATTGGCAAGATGGACGGGCTGCGCGGGTATCAGGGCTGGCGCTGGATCTTCATCATCGAGGGCGGCTTCACGGTCTTTGTCAGCTTCTTCTTCTACTTCTTGCTGCCCAACTTTCCCGAGGAGTCCAAGTGGCTCAAGAACGGCGAGAGGGAGTACGTGTCGGCGCGCCTCCGCATCGACCAGGGCCCGGCCGGGCGAGACCGCAGCATCACCGTCCGGGACGTGGGCCGCGTGTTCAAGGACTACAAGGTGATTGTGGGCGGCTTCATGTACTTTGGGCTCATCGTGCCGGCGTACGGGTACGCGTACTTCTCGCCTGGCATCATCCAGGGCTATGGGTACGACCGGATCGAGACGCAGCTGCACAGCGTGCCGCCGTGGGCCGTTTCCTTTGGCTTCTCCATGTGCGTGGCGCTGCTGTCGGACAAGACGCGCCACCGCTTCGTCTTTGCCATCACCGCCATCTGCATCTGCATAATCGGCTTCGCCATCCTCATCGCCGTGCACGACAACACCAAGCTGCAGTACGCGGCGCTGTTTCTCGTCGCCTCGGGCGCCTACACGGCCATGCCCATCATCGTGTGCTGGTTCAACATGAACCTCGGCGGCCACCACCGCCGCTCGGTCGGCTCCGCGTGGCAGGTGGGCTTTGGAAACATTGGCGGCATCATCGCCTCGTTTGCCTTTCTGCAAAAGGACGCGCCCAAGTACATTCCTGGGTACAGCATCTCGATCGCCTTTACGATCCTGAGCATCATCGCATGCATCATCTACGGGTTTGCGTGTTGGTCGCAGAACAAGAAGAAGGACAGGGAGCAGGGCAACGAGCACGGGCTCACGGAGGAGGAGAAGACGGACATGGGTGATTTGTCGCCCGACTACCGGTACTTGCTGTAGGGGCCTTGAGCTGGTCGCTCTGTGCACGCAATGTGTTGGCTTTATAAAATTTGACAATGTTAAATTGTGTCATTAATTGATATATCAAGTGGTATCATGTGTTAAATCATTTCGCTTGCCCTGAAATTGCTCCTTTACACCTCCTTTCTACATTTTCCTCTAAAAGTCCCCCGTGACGCCGCCGGTGCTAGACGTTTCATGCAGCGGCCTGTGCACAAAGACCTGCCGCTCCCAGCCGTCAATGGGGTCGATCTGTGTCTCGCGCACGAGCTTGTAGCCGCCGAGGCGCGGCAGAACCTTGGACCAAACAACCCAGTAGACGCCGCCGAGGCCAAAGACGCCCCAGGTGACGACGTTGTGCGTCCAGTAGGGCATGCTCTTGTAGATGCTCTGTCCGTCTTCTGGGGGCGCATAGGGGGCGCATACGAGGAAGAGGTTGCTGAGGAGGAAGAAGACGACAACGGGCAGGGTGGCTTTGACGGGGGGGTTCCATCCGTTGGTGGAGCGGTGGAGGTAGAGCCAGATGAGGCCAATGGCGACAAAGGTGTTGACGATGGCAAGCGGGTAGGAGATGAGGTTGAGGACAAAGTTGTAGGCGTCGCCGGGCGGGGGTGCGACAATAGTGATGACGCAGATGAGCCAGTGCCAGAAAAGCCCAGCGAGAGGCGCGTTAAAGGGCCGGTTGCTGGCCCAGAAGCGGGCAAAAGGCAGGACGCCCTCGCGGCCGAGCTCCTGGACGAGGCGCCCCTGAGAGAAGATGACGGAGAGGACGTTGCCAAAGGCGGAGAGGGAGACGAAGACGGAGAGGGCGCGCTCGGCGGCGGGGCCAAACATGTTGCGGAAGAGGGCGGCGGCGACGAGACGCTCGCTGGCAATGATCTCGGCCTTGGGGACGCCGGCAAAGTAGGAGATGTTGACGAGCATGTAGAGGACAGAGACGCTGCCGATGGCGAGGGGCGCGGCGATCTTGAGGGTGCGGACGGGGTTCTTGGTCTCGCTGAGGGCGTAGTTGGCGTTGCTGTAGCCGACGTAGCTCCAGATGACGTTGTTGAGCGAGGTGACGACGCCGTACGGGCTGCCCGAGGTGCCCTCGAAGGCGTTGGAGAGGTTGTCCGTTGTTTTGTCGAGCCTGGCGAGGGGGGCGACGATGATGATCAGGATGATGGCGAGTTTGATGGTGCCTAGCACGTTCTGAAGGAGGATCCCCCACTTGAGGGCGGTGCCGTGGATGATAAACGCAATCGTGATACAAGCGATACCGAGGCCACGCCCGTTCCACTGCGTGGGCTCGACGCGGGCGGCGAGGAGGATGTACTCGCCGAAGACGACCGAGTTACCGGCCGCCCAGCCGAGGAGGATGACGTATCCGGCGTAGAACGAGGTGGTGAGGAACTTGGGCTTGCGGAAGACGTACTCGAGAATGTTCTTCTCGCCGCCGTTCTTGGGGATACCCGTGCCGAACTCGACGTAGACGGCGGTGCCGGCGGCGGCGATGAGACCGCCCACGAGCCACATGATGAGGGAGAGGCCGACGGAGCCGCTGAGGGAGAGGATGGCACTGGGTGTCGCGAAGATGCCCGTGCCGATGACGCGGTTGAAGATGAGGAAGGCGGCGGTGGTGATGCCAATGGTCCGCTTGGCCTCGCGCGCAGCCTCGAGGCGGCCTACGTTTTTAGGTTAGCATTGCCTCTATTCTGGGACAAGAGAGGCACCCACCATCCTCGACGTCGGTGCCGGCGCCAGTGCCGTCAGAGACGACCATGTCGTCCTTGTTCTCGCCGGACAGGCGTGAGGGGAGACTCATGATGGGCGGTGATGTGAAGATGAGGGATGTTGGGGGGAAAGGACTAGACAAGCCAGGCGTTGAGTGATACTATATATCAGAATAGTCTGTCGTTCCCTCCCCATCGAAATTCTCCATCGAAATTCTCCAAGACCCGTAGGCTAGGCTAGGCTAGAAGCATAATGGAACACACCATCGTGGCCCGCCGCCGGGAGTGGGTCCCTGACTCCGACCCGGGCCAAGACGTGGAAAGCTGGGGGCAGCGATTGTCCTCGTCTTGGTGGCAATTACTGCTCTCAGATCAGCTCGGATCTTTGAAAACACCAAACACCAAACGCGACTTGAATTCGATCCTACTGTAAGCATCCGTGCCTGCAACATTGAGGAGTGAAAATATTGCCCGGTGTCCCCTCGGCCGGCCGCCCCGACTAGCTCCGATCGCGTCATCGGGGCTGTGGAGCCAATCAACGGCAGGCGGCTGTCCGAGATGGGGTCCAGCCTAAAATTCTTCACCGAGCCTCCTTACCTTTACTGAATCACGACGCTTGACTCTTGTATTTGCCCCTGGGGTTCCCCTTTTGCTGGAGGACGCCCCCTGCTCCGGATAGGGCCGGCTGGCACGCGCCAGGGTGTGCGGGTTTCGGTGTGTCATGGAAACGTGCACGAAGCTTGTGTCTGGCTGCGCTGGGGGAAGTCTGGCGATGGCATCATTTCGTGGACGATGGCATGCTCGCCGCTCAGTCGCTTGCAGTGGGACGTTTGGCTGTGGTTTTGTATGATGAGTATGGCCGTCATCGGTTGGTGGCGGCCTGAGACATATCCCCTTCTTGCTGACATGGTGAAGTGAATGAGGTCAAGGCTGGTCATTGTAGCCGGTATCCATATGACTAGCATGCCCTCCCAGCAGCTGGCAAGCAGCGATACGCAAAGAATCGTCAATGAATGCAACGGATGAATTTCGGACGATCAAACCAGCACAACGAGAATGGCTTGCCATGTTTGCTCGGCACCTCTCCTGGATGGAAACACTGCGATCTGACTAGCCAAGTTTGATGTGCTTACAATGCGCGCTGCAGCTTAAAAGCCCCTAGGCTATCCGCATTAATTAGCTCCCACGACATCAGGGGCTGGATGACGAGTGCCTCTTCACCGTCAAGTCGCACCACATTGCGTGCTGCTTGTATCCTATGACCACGCGGGCGCTACTGCAAGCATGTGCTCCTTCGCCATGTGACGGGCCCTTTGACGTGCGATTTAAGACGGAAGCATCTCAGCCTGTGCGGAAATTTCAATTTTCGGTTCTTCCAGCCCCTGGAGGCGCTTGTCTTCATAAACTAGCTGTTGGGATTCCCCTTTTTTTTCAACAGCATGACTGCGGCTTCATGCTCCTGAACAGTGCGGCCTTCAACATTGAACATGTTTTCGTTACAGGATCTACAACTTTTTGGCTCGTTGCCCATCAAGCACCGTGTTTCTCTTTGCAATTCGTCCGAAAGTCTCAGAACCAAGTCAGATGGCCTAGTTCAAGCTCATTCAGCGCTGCTCAAAGGACGTCACCATGTCAGATGAACTTCAAGTCCTCCTCGCCCTCCGCCTCCGACTTGAGGTGGTTATAGGAGAAATTCTCAACGCCGTGCTTTCTTCACCTCGAAAGAGAGCCTTTCCCTCTTGACTTTTTTGTGACTCTGTTTACTGTTCCCCTCCTGGCCACAATCGCACCCAGGCAACGACCGCGCTCACAGCATTCATCATGTCCGATCACCAACGCCAACATCATGGCGACGACTCCACATCCTCAAAGTCTGTACCAAAGCCTTTGGGAGTGACCTCTATCATACCCCTCGGAGACAAGTGGTCCATGGCGACCGTACAGGGTGGCTCACGCGCCGCTGCCATGTCCCAGCACATTGTCGACAATTGCCCCAGAAACGAAGACGACGTATTCGCCGTGGTCGCCTTCAACCTCACCGCTGCCTAGTGCCAAGCCCGCGAGGCCACAGAGATGGAAGACTATGCGAAAACCAAAGATGCAGTGTTAGAAATCGTGGTTCGAGATCTGGCTGGGAACTCGGGGGGATCGGACAGGAACGGGCTCGTCATTACCGTCAGGAACATTGATTACGCCAACTCAGCTACTCGTATCGCTCTTGAGGGTAACGACGTGCCAATGAAGGGAAGCAGTGCGACGCCAGCGGTGTACCCTGCTGCCATGGTCGATTTAGTTCAAGCTCAACGTCCTTCACCGCAACAGGACCGTGCCAGCAGGTCTACCGCGATCAAACTTTGTCAAGATAAGGCTCTTGGCGCCCTTGCAGCCGCTATCAACCGGGCTACAAGCAAGAAGCCAGGACAGCAAGCTGGTCGCCCGCCTCGGGACTGGAGTCCCGAAACGTCGGATGACGAGAGCACACCGTCGGAGGAGAGCGCTGACTCGGTAAATCGAGCCAAGGGCTACAACCCTGCGTTGAGCTTTCTGCAAAGGCTAACGCTAGAGAAGGCGGGTGATCAGAATTCTGGGAGAAACCCGAAAAGCGATGTCCCAAAAACTACACTGCCAAAAATCCGGATACAGCGCACTCGACAAGACCGTTCTGCGCAGTCCCACAAACATTGATCATGCAAGCTTTTGGACTCTCCGTTGCGTACTGATGTATTCGCCTTCCTTTGCGTTTTTCAGGAAACGACGCCTTTGGCTCCTAGACTACGTTGTTTGGAAAGGGGGCTTGGGTGAGACACTTTAGGGGTATGGGCGAAGCTGTTGACTGGGAAAGCAATGTCGGATTTTTTTAGTTCATAGAGTAAGGCAATGCGTCAAATGTACGTTTCATCAAATTAGTGTCACAGCGCTGGTAATCAATGTTTTTACTCCGCGCGGTCTAGGCGTTCTAAATTTTGAGATTCCCCCTATCCCGCATTGTGAATAAGCAGGGCGAACGCATCTAATACGCCACCGAGTTGAGTGTACTAGAACTACAATACAAGAGCAAGAAAACATACTATAGACTTGCGACGGCATCAGTCGTTGAGCTAACAGCGAGAAGGTACATGATAGACGAATTAAGTGAAGGGTTGTGAGCTGCAGGGTAGCCCAATGCAATGTTCACCAAGGGGCCCATGCGGCAGTCTTTCGTTGCAAACCAACTGCATTCTGACCCGTGATCACCATGCACAATGCGTTCTAAACCCATTGTTCCCGCTTGAATAGGTCAGTGCGGGCCTGAGCATCCTATTTTCCTCACTCCCACGCCAAACGAGAGGCAGCATCCGGTCTCATGGCCTCTGTGTTATTGGCCAATGAGGTCTCCCTCTCACCGCCCGCCATGAAGACCCGCATTAAGTGTAGTGGGTGCTCACTTTTTCCTCACCCCACGTTCATGTTGTCCACGCCCTTTAGATCACATACGCCTCGACAGTCGACACCACTGGCTGGATTAAAGGCTGGGGACATGTCACCGTTGTTCTGATCTCACATAGATAACTGCCTATCAAACTCAGATTCGCAGTGCAGTGCAGTGCAGTGCAGTGCAGAATCGACGCTTAGCGAGGGCCTGTGACTCATCAAGATCTCCTCACGAGTGAGACGCAACCTCCAAGCCAACGGCTCTCGACAGTCCCGTACGCCTTCTAAACAGACAAAGACCATGGCACCCGCCAGCATGGACGAGACGGAGCCTCTTCTAGGCTTGACGGCGACGCTCTCCAACTCGCTCCCCGCCACAGAAACCGCCGTCCACGCGCACGAGGACCTGCCGCTCGACTTTGACCCCAGCGGCGACCCAGACAACCCGCGCGAGTGGCCGAGCCCTTTCAAATGGAGCATCACACTGCTCCTCACCGCGCTGGCGTTTACTGTGTTTGTCTTTCCTCCCATCAGGTGACAAAGGCCAATATCTGACTGCCCCAGCACATTCAACTGCATCTCGGTGGTGCCCATCGCCAACCGCATCGTCAGCGACCTCGCCCCCGACGGCCGCCCCGACAAGTACGCCAGCGTCCTGCTCGTCACCATCTGGGAGCTCGGCGAGGCGGCTGGCCCGCTGCTCATCGCGCCCCTCTCCGAGATTGTCGGTCGCTGGCCCGTCATGAACGTCGCCAACACGCTGTTTGTGCTGACCACCCTCCTCGCCGCGTCCGCGCCGACCGTCCCGCTGCTCATCATGGCCCGCGCCCTCTCCGGCCTCGTCGTCGTCTCCAACGTGCTTAACCCGGCCATCGTGGGCGACATTTTCGATCCGGACCACCGCGGCTCGCCGCTGAGCCTCGTCGCCCTGGCGCCGCTCCTCGGCGGCGCGGCGGGGCCTGCCATTGGTGGTGCCATTGCCGAGACACTTGGCTGGCGCTGGGTGCTCTACATGGCTGCCATATTCGTCGGCGTCTGCCAGGTCCTATTCCTGACCTGCTTCCGCGAGACGTACAAGGTGGCCATCCTGCGACGCCGGGCGCGCCACAGACAGGCCATGGACGCTGAAGGTGCACCCAATCGGGAGAAGAAGGGGAAGCGCGGGGCGCTCGTCGAGTCCATCGTCCGGCCTTTTATCGTCTTCGGCTCGTCGGGCGTGCTCATGGCCCTATCCCTCTTTGGGTCCGTCGTCTTCTCGCACTTTTACAGCTTCGCCGTCACGCTGCCCGACATTTTCGAGGACCGGTACCATCTCTCGCCCGCCGTGACGGGGGGTTCCATGGTGTGCTTCAGCATCGGGTCGGCCGCGAGCGTCATGGTGTGCAACGTGACCCTAGACAGGATCTACGTGCGGATGAAGGCGGCAAACAACGGCGTGGGGCAGCCCGAGTTTCGTCTGCCAATGGTCATTGTGGGCGGGTTCGCGCTGCCCGTCATGGTGGCCGCGTACGGGTGGGCGGCGGAGCTGCGGGTGCCGCTGTGGGTTCTGCTCGTGCTCATGGGGCTGGTCGGGTTCGCGCTCATGCTGGCTTTTGTGCCCGTGTCGGCGTACGTGGTGGATGCGTTCGGTCTGTACGCGGCGAGCGCGATGACGGGGCTCATTGTCGCGCGGTGCCTGATGGGCACGTTCCTCCCGCTGGCGACGACGCCGCTGGTCCGGAACTATGGGTTCGGCTGGGGGTTCACGATCCTGGGGGCCGTCAGTCTGGGGCTGGCGCCGATTCCCGTGTTGGTGTTCCGGTACGGCGAGCGGTGGAGGCAGCTGTCCAGGTACACCAGGAGCAGCTGATGGGTGGGTTTTGCGTGGGTAGCCACATGTAGTCATTGAATGTTGGAGTTTCGCTGATTGGGAACGTTGCTTCCCGTGGCCGCTTCGGATCTGCCCTTCTCGCTCATCGACCCGTCTGCCTCGTCCACCCACGCATCACCCAGTTCCTCGAGCGGGCCCTTGTCCCAAGATTCCCATGCTTCTTCTTCGGCCCGACGTGCATGCTTATGTGTTTTGACAATGTTGTAGATCGTAACAGGGTCCATGACAACATCAGGCTGCTCCTGTACGTAGAACTTGGTCCACGTGCTTTAAATACGCAACAAGGCCTCAAAATCAATTGTGAGCGAAAAAAGCCCAAAATGGCCCCCCCCCTCCCCCAAAAAATCCGCATCCTGATTGCTGCTTCTCTTGATCCCTATGGCGCAGAAGAGATGAGTTGGCTTGACTAGTCTAGGTCAGTCCACAGGGTAGGGTACCTGAAGCTCGAGACAAGAGGACTCGCATCACCAGGGCAGTTGTTGTTAGCATCGCCCCCCGCTTCCGATGCCGTCACTAACAGCTCTCGCCAAGGCTTGGCGCAGCGTCGATCAATGCCGGAGCATAAATCACTGCCGGCCCCGCGTTGCTGTTCTTCCTCCGCAGATGTAGCTATGATCAGCTCCCTGGACTGAAGCAATACCTCCCTTGACGGCCCGAATTTGTTGCCTGCGTGGCCTCAGACGTGGGACTGCGCCGTAATCACTGCCATACCTGCAATCGTCCTCTCCTCCCGACAGAGTCGGACAGGACTGTTGACTGCCCGCTCGTATCTGCCGGCGACTGCCGATCCACGCATGGCCAGCGTCACAATCGCAACACGAGCCTTGGACCGCCGATCCCGTATCCTAGGTTCATGCTTGGCTTCAAGCATGGTAAGGCTGAGCCAGGCGACGCTTGGCAGACTGCCCACCACCATCGGACCATCATCCCCAACATACGAGACTCGTGCTACGTCATGCCATGTCATGCCACGCCGACAGGTGAGGAAGACCCAAGAAGAGCGTGAAGATAACCGAGGTCGAGTCAAGGATGATTCTTGTTTCGATTTGTGAGGCGCGTGTGGTATTGCAGGGCACAGCACGAAGCATGACGAGGCCCCAGTTGTAATCTCATGCTCAAAGACATTTAATCTCAGAGTCCCTGGACAACGCAATCCTCCCCTCAGGTAGTCGATCCTCCCACACGCCACCGCGCCAGCAGCAACCTTAGTTCCATACATCTACATCGATTCCCTCGTCGTCTTCCTCTTCACCTACACCAACACCAACACCAACACCAACACAATCACCAACATGCACACCATCCTCACCCTCCTCCTCGCCGGCACGGCCGCCGTCGCCGCGCCCCTGCAGCCCCAAGCAACCAACGCAACGTGCCTCGAGCGCTCGCAGCAGCTGCAGCACTGGAACATCGAAAACTTCGACTACCACGCCTCGTACATCTTCACCAACCCAGCCCACCAAAACTCCCACGGCTACGTCAACTTCACCCTCGCCAACCCAGCCCTCGATGCAACCGCCACCTGCACCGCCTCCTCCTCGCAGCTGTCCGAGTTCTTCTACGGCAACCAGGTCTTCCACTGCGACGTGCCCTCCTCCCTCGGCGGGCCCGCGACGTTCACCTACTCACGCACCACGGGTGATCTCCAGATCAGCCAGACCTGGACGTGTCCCGACGAGCAGGCGCGCTTTTCGGCCGTGGGTGGCGTCACGCTCGACCTCGACTGCCGGGACGAGACGTGGCAGAACCCGGACTGGGAGCAGGGCCAGCTCTACTCGGTGCGGACGGTGACGTGCGATCTCGTCGATGCGCAGGCCCCGATTCGGGAGATTAGCGGGATCCGCAGGAAGGTCTGATGTGTCTTCTTCTTCTCTTCTTGGTGGATATTCAATGGTGTTCAGCTTTGGCGGTAGTTTTTCTGCGTAATGAATACAACGACATGATCAAAAGGGCCGCTGGGGAGAGTGCATGTCTCACGCCACCTCGAGTCGCCATGGTGACTACGAAAACTGGAATGCGTCCTCGACCCCCCCAGACGCCCAGTCCATCAACCACGCATCGAGCTCGGGCCCCCACGTGAGCGGCGCAGTTGAAGCCGCCTCGGGCACCTCACTAGGCGTCAGCGCGCCAACCTCCTCAAACGTACGCCTCCAGCCGATCACGGCGCCCCTGATCATCTCGCTCCCGCGCGTGTACACGTCGTCCTCATCCGTGACGAGCCCCACGGCCGCCGGCACCGCCCCGTACAGCACCGCCGCGCGCTCGAGCGTGCCGAGCAGGTCCACCGTCTGCAGAATCTGGGCGCGGTCCCAGCACGGGTCGTCCTGCAGGCAGAGCCGGTAGATAATATGCGTCATGGCGCTAAAGTGGAGGTGAATCGGGCTCGCGTGGCCGGAGACCTGCGCGGGCGTAAAGGCGAGGAAGTTGTCCATGCAGCGCGCGGCGGCGGCGAGGCAGCTCGTCAGGGCGGTCGTGCGCGTCATGGCGACCCAGTTGTTGGTGAGCGGCGTGTGGTGCAGGGCGAGTTCGTAGATCATGGCCTCGACGGCGGAAAGATGCGAGACGACGTACTCTATACATGTGTGAGAATCTTGGCGCGGGTGAGGACACGGACGTACTGTTCTCGAGCACCTCGGGCGGTGTCGCGCTCTTCATTGTCTCGAGGCTGCCCCGGAGGGTCTTGACATGCACGCCAGGCGACGCGCCCGACGCCAGCGAGGCCTGGCACGCGGGTCTCGTCTCAGCAGGCCGCCACATGGACAGCGCGTTGACCTCCTCGAGGATGGTGGTGATGCGAGCGATGGCGACGAGGACGTGGTCTTGGTCGCTCTCAGCCTGTGCCGCCAGGGCCTGGAGACACATGTCCATGTGCGGTGTCCAGCCCACGGCCGCCGTCTTGATGAACCACGAGAGGCTGCTGGTCAGCGGGGGGGTCTTTGATAGGACATGAATGCTACTGACCACGCGCACATAATGTAGCAGCCCAGCACGGCACGCCTCTCCACATTGGTCCAGACCACCTCGAGCACCGCCTTCTTCACGGGGCAGCCGTAGGCCTTGCCGGGCTCCAGCTCGCGGCACGGCAGCTCCGTGGCATGTCTGTCCAGGTGGAGGTCGAACATCATGCTGCGGGCCAGGTTGCCAAAGACGTTGAGCGTCGGTTTGCCGCGAAACTTGCTGTGCAGCCTTCGGTCAGGTCAGTCAGCACACGTCTCTGCTTGGTAGCGACAGGAGATTCTGTACCAGCTCACGTAGCCTATGAGGCCCAGCAGGTGGTCCATGTCACGTTCGAGGTCGATGAGGAGGGCCCGCGCCGTTTCTTGCCGAAGCTCGCGCTCCAACCGCATCTGCTCCCCCGTCGAGCTGGCGCATGTAGCCTGCATGACCCGCCAGAGAAAGGGGTACTCCCGCTGCAGGTCAGCTGGTGTTGTTCTCTCTGCTACATGGAAGTATGGGAATGACGGTAGGTAGTTCTCGCGGAACAAGCGTAGGCATCGTGCGTCGTCTTCATCCGTGTTCATGTCCCTGCTTGGGGCACCGCGCATGGGAGGGTCAGCATTCTGTTGTTGTTTCTCAGGGCTCGCAGCATCTCGCGCTTCGTGAGAGACACTGTCCGACTTCTCAGACCCGTACCGCGACGCGTAATCCGACGTAGGTTGGCTGTGAGGGTGCGGCGTCTGCTGCTGCTGGCCCTGCTGGGAGAGCAAGCTCACGAGTGAGTCAAGCTTCTCCTCTAGCTTGGCCGTCCGCCCCTTGGCCGTACGGTTCACCCTCTTGCGCACCACGGGGGCCGCCACACAGTCCTTCTGCAGTCGTACGCAGCGTTCACACGTGCGACTGTTGCTGGGCCGAGGCTGAGGCTGGAGGACACACTTGCACTTGGCCCTGACGCAGCCGGCGCACGCCTTGCCGTAGGGCGCTGATTCCTTGACGGCGTCGGCTTCACGTTGTTTTGCAGCGGCGGAGTTCATTTTGGCCAGGGATGGATTTGCTTTGCTGAGTGACGCAGTGCTGATGGATGAGCAGTGAACAATTGAGGTCTATCAGATCAGCAGATGGGCGACGGCGGATTTGACGCGCAACAGGGACAGAATCCCGCCGCTGGGCGACTGGAGCGACAGCCGTATCGTATTACCCCGACACCCTGGTCCTCCTGACGGCGGAGTTGGAGCTGTTAGTCTCGGGTGAGTCACCCCTGTCGTATGATGAAGCCTGCGACAGCGTGGCTGATGATGGTCTGGTCGAGGGAGACGATGAAGATGCGCTCTTGTCGCTCTGTGTGAAGCAGTGAACCAGCATCACAAGAGCAAGAGGCGGCTCATCGACATTTACTGCAAACGAAACCCCGATTGTCAGACGCCATCAAGTGAACAAACTAAGGTCGCTTCTCCATTCACGCCTTCATCGACAGCCCTGCGGAAACTAAACTAAATCCCGGGTCTGGGCACGCGCGCTTACCGGCACGCTCCACGACGTGGCGCCATCCTTGCTGCAATCATATCAATGCACCCGATTGATGAATCCCGCCTTTCTGGCGGACTGTCGCTGCTTAAGTCCGCCGTAAAACCGCACGGGTGTCGATCAGTACAAGATCTGACATGCTGACTCTATATCAGCCATTGCTGGACCACCTCCTCTCCTGCGGCTCACACACAATGGACTCATCACCCGGCACAACCACCGCCTCTCCCATAATGGCGCCTCAGGAGATGCTCGAAAAGACGGCTTCGGCCACGCCAACCGCCGAGCGCGCCGACACAACACCCCCCAACACGGGCACCGACACAACCACAGACCAAGGCCATGCCGTCCACAAGACAGACACCAACCTCTCCTACTCGCGGCGCTTCCTCACCGGCTGGCCCCTCTTCTCGGTCATCGCCGGCGTCTCCGTCGTCGTCGTCCTCACCCTCCTCGACCTCGCCATCATAGGCACCGCCCTCCCCCAGATCACCAGCGACTTCCACCGCCTCGGCGACGTCGGCTGGTACATTAGCGCCTACACCCTCGGCAACGCCGCCGTCCAGCCCCTCTCCGGCAAGATGTTCACCTATTTCAACCTCAAGTGGACCTTTCTCCTCTTCTTCCTCGTCTTTGAAGTCGGCAGCGCCCTCTGCGGCGCCGCCACCTCGAGTGCCATGCTCATCGCTGGACGGGCCGTCGCCGGTATAGGCGGCAGCGGTCTTGTTAATGGCGGCCTCACCATCATCATGGCCGCTGCCAAACCCGAGCGCATGCCCCTCTACACGGGTCTCGTCATGGGCGTTGGGCAGGTCGGCATCGTCGCGGGGCCTCTCCTCGGTGGCGCCCTCACCCAGCACGCCAGCTGGCGCTGGTGCTTCTACATAAACCTGCCTCTGGGCGTCGTCGCGGGTGCCCTCATGGCCTTTGTCAACGTTCCCGAGCAGAGGCCCAAGGATCCCTTTAGTCTCGCCCTCGTCCGCCGACTCATCCCCGTCTTCGACCTCCCCGGCTTCGCCCTCCTGGCCAGCGCCACCGTCATGCTGCTCCTGGCCCTGCAGTTCGGCGCCGAGTCGTACGGCTGGCGCGCACCCACCGTCATCGGCCTCTTTGTCGGCGCTGGCGTGGGCTATGCCGTGTTCGCCTTTTGGGAGTGGCGCCTCGGCGAGGACGCCATGATCCCGCTCTCCATCCTCACCAGCCGCGTTGTCTGGTGTGCCGGTCTCTACATGGGCTTTCTCATGTCCTCGGTCATTGTCGGCACCAACTTTATCCCCATCTACCTGCAGAGCGTCAAGGGCCTGTCCCCGACCATGAGCGGCGTCTACATGATGGCCACTGTTGGCGCGCAGGTCGTCCTCATCGTTCTGAGTGGCGCCCTCGTCAACAAGTCCGGCTACTACATCCCCTGGGCCCTCGTCGCCGCAGGAGGCACCATGATCGCCTCGGGTCTCGTCTCGACCTGGTCCCGCACCACCGCCGCCGGGCCCCTGGTCGGCTACCTCCTCGTCATGGGCCTGCGAGGCACTGGCTTTCAGATACCCGTCATTGCTGTGCGCATGGCCGTGTCCGCCGCCCAGATCGCCATGGGCACCTCCTTCATCGTGTTTGGACAGAATTTCATGGGCTCCATCTTCACCACTGTCGCCAACGCCATCTTCCAGGAGACGCTGGCCACGCAGATTGGCCACATCAATGGCGTCAGCCCCGAGGCCGCCATCGCAGCTGGGGGTAGTGCGGACGCTGTGCGTGCGCTGGCACCGCCTGGCCCGACGAGGGACGCCATATTGGATGCGTACGCGGATGCCTTTAGCGATGTCTTTCTGTTGCTCATCGCGACGGCGAGCGCTGCCTTTGTAGTGGCGTTTGGGATGGGCTGGTATGATCTGCGGCCGAAGAAAGAGACCAAGGAGGAGACCAGAAAGAACGAGCCGCAGCAGACGGCTGAAGAAGTGTAAGATACCTGGACATGCATCTTTTCTTCCCCCAGGGCTGGCATGAAAGATATTCCCCTCTCATTCGCACAGGTGGACATATATAACTTAATACATTGTACTCCAACATCTATGATCCAACATGCAATGCCTGCCGTGAGACAGAACCTCTAATACGTACAATCAATACAAAGAAATCATGCCTGCTCTGCCACTGAAGACACAAACTCCACCTCAAAGATTACCCAGCCATGATGCTGCGTCCGCCGTCCGTCGTAACCCTCTTCCGGATACGGATCTTGAGCACCCCATTGCCCAGGTGCAGCACCCTCTTCTCCGTGGGCGTCTCCCCCTTTGGCGCGCCGTAAGACCGTCCAAAGGCGAAGACGGGCGTCGTCGACGTGCCCCCGCCCTCCTTGCCGTTGAAGCCCGAGTCGTACGTCGAATCCTCCCCCGAGTGTGCCGCGACCGTCCCGTCGCCCGCCGTCTGTATGTCAATGACAGCGCTCGGCGCGAAGAGCAGTGCCTCGCCCGTGCGTAAGCGGACAACCCGCGAGAAGAGATCTCCCGCGACGTCGTCCTTCTTCAGCCCCAGCGGACGGATCCCCGTCTCCGTCTTGCTACCCTTCTTCATCCCCTCCTGGTCGCCATTCACGTTCGGGTCCAGCCAGCTCGAGGCACCGGCGAGATGCTTCTGCAGGGCCCGCATCCAGTCTGGGCTCGTGAAGCGATGCACAATCGTGACGCTGCACAGGTCCAGCAGACGTGGTGAGATGGTCGGCTCCTGCGTGGAGATGATGACACGCGTGGCAATGTGGCGCTGCAGACGGATCGTGCTCAGGAGATTCTCCGTCAGAGCCTGGCACTCGGCCGAGTTGGTCATGTATTTATGCGCCTCATCCAGCGCGACGACGCGGCCAACCTGCGTGTCTTGCTCGAGGAAGAGGCTGAGACAGATGCCAAAGAGCGAGCAGGCCATCTCGGCCGTGACGCAGGGGCAGCTCAAGTCGACAATGGTCAGTTGCCCGGCCTTGGGCGACCACGAGTTGCCGTGCTGCGGGTCGACGACCATATTGTTGCGGTTGCGGGACACGTGTCGGCCCAGAGCCATCTCGTACGCCCTGGCCTGGTCGGACACCATGAAACTTTCGAGCGTGTTGAGGCGCTGCTTGAGCGGCGCCAGCTGCGCGTCCGTGAGGGACTGCTCGTCGAGGTCCCTCTTGAACTTGGCATAGTTGAAACCGCTACCCTTTTGCTGCTGCGCCACACGGAGGTCGCGCAGGATGCGGATCACCACGTGTAGGTAGAGCGGTAGCGTGCCCTGGACGGATGAGACGGCCATGAGGTCCAGCATGCGCTTCGTGTTGAGGTGCTCCTGGTTAATGCGGAGGACTTCAATGGTGACGTTGGGCAGCTTGGCGTAAATTCTCTGCCGTCGTTAGCACAGATCTTTTGAAAAGGAAAAAGTATGCGTACCTTGATGTGCGCCACATTGGTCGGGGCACACAGCACCCTAACATCGACACCAGGATTAGAGCTAAGGAAAGCTGCCTCGCAGGGCGAGCCGCCCGAGTCAGACACAAACGTGTCGTAGTGGAACACGATACCGGTCAGCGGTTTTGGTAGCATGTTCACCTCATTCTGCAGCAGGCAGTTCTCAAGCAGGCAGCTGAGCGAATGCGACTTGCCCGAGCCCTGGGAGCCGCAGATAAATGTGCTCGAGGGCGCCGCCACGTTGAAGAAGAGACGCGGATCAGACGCTTCCCCGCTTGCATCACCTGCCAGAAGTCCATACTGCGCAAAGGGCTTGCTTTTGTCGGACCTGCCCGTCCTGTCGTGCTCAGCGAGGACGTGGCGCTGGACGGCCTGGGTGAAGATGGGGGCCGTGAGGACGTCACTCGGTGTGGTGTTCTCCGTCTCTGCGTCGAGGAACCGCATGTGTTTGGCAAACTCCTCTTCTTTTTTCACCGCTACGGGCTTTTTCTTCTCGCCGCCAAGGTTGAGCTTGCCCATGTCAAAGATCAACGATGGTGCTTCTGCGTTGGTCTTGGCAGGCGCGGCGTTAAATGTGAAGATGCGCGGGTTGCTGGCCTCCTTGGGAGCACCACTGGCCTTGAGAGGGGATTGTATGTGTGCTGGCGTGATAAGCTTGGGAGCGCGCGTTGGGGTCCTCTCGTTCTCCCCGCCAGCTGTAGTGGCGTCGTCGCGTCTTGAGCTGCTGAGGGCTTGTGAGGATTCTGAGGCAGATGGTCAGTGCTATCAGGAGTGTAAGTGGGTGTGAAACTCGCCTGTTTTGTCTGGAGAGCGAACACCACGACTAGTTCGGACTGTGGTGGCCTTGCGTCTCGGTGAGGTTGTGATTCCACTCTCAGAATCGGTGGAATCATATCTCAGCGAGGGCTGCAAGTGATACGAGGCCATGGTGAGTAGAGGGCACGCAGTGCGTGAGTGAAGCGTGTGCTTGCCAGTGAAGCTTGTGCTTATCAGTGTCTGGCCTGTGTTTTCACTTTTGTGAGAAATGGTTGGATGTTGGGTTCACGTGAAAGTCAGCCTCCTCATGAGATGAGATTGCCATGGGAATTTGGTCAAATTGCCTGCAGGCTCCCCCCAGGCGGGTTTGCAGGCTGCAGGGTCCTGTATGTGCCTGCCAAGCCCGATGAGGCCCCTGGCCAGTTCCGCGCTCCCGGGCATAGCGTCTCAATAGTGGATCAGGGCCCTGTCAATGTGCTGACCAAGGGCGCATTCACTGTTTACAGATAAACAATGGACGCGTCTGCGATTTCCACCTTGTTTGTGATAGTTGTTTGTCTATGTATATCTGTTCCAGATCCTCGCTAGTTGACGTCTGCGTAAAAGTGGTTCATTTGGAACGTGGCTGGCCCGCCAGTCATCGGCTCCGTGCCCAGTTGGAGAACTGTCTCGTTAGTCCACGCCATTGACACAGGAACGCAAGGCAAACTCACCAGTCAGATGCTGGCTCTCCGTAGGAAAGCCCTTGTTGTCGCGCAGATAGTCAAAGAAGCCCTTGGCGTCCAGGTCGACCGAGTGGCGCGCCGCGTCGGACACAAAGGTGTACACGTGCATCGCGCCGTTGAAGCCGTCCCAGAGCGTCCACGTCTGGCCCTCGACCTCGACGGTCCCGACGCTGCTGCCCACCGGCCAGAGGTCACCATAGTTGGCCAGCCAGACCATGATCTCGTAGTCGCCGCCGCTCGTCTCGTGCGCGGGGTCCGATGCCGTGAACATGTCGTAGGCCACGTTGGCCCGGATCGAGTCGCCGCTGTAGCCCCAGTCGGCCTGCGTGGGGATGCTGCCAATCTCATTCACGAGCTTCTTGTCGGCCAGTGTGCGGCCCGCGTAGGGGTAGCTCTTGACGGCATCGTCGTTGCCGGACCATGTCCAGTCCGCGCGCCACGCGATGCCGGAGCTGGATACCTCGTCCACGTAGGTGCACTGCTGGCCGGTACCGAGTGCGGCGCCCCATTTGTTGTTGTTGGCATAGTAGCCGTCCACGGTAGAGTGGCTGTACTGTTCGCACAGCGTCTGAGCCAAAGCTAAGGGGGCGATGCTGAGGAGAGTGAAGGCCTTCATGGTGATGTGGAATGTTCAAGTGAAAGATGGTTGATAAAAGTGTGTGGGTGCGACTGAAAGAAAGGCTACACCAGGTAGAATAACATAGAATAGAATGTAGATTTGAAAGAGAATGGTCTGAAAGGAACGACTTGCGCTTGAGTTCTCTCCAGACGCTGCTCAGCCAGGGCGAGGGCACGGCTTATGTATCCGTGGCCCTCATGCTGAGCTCTGTCCGGGACTAGACTAGACCAAGCGCTCGCTCGCTTCAGACTTCAGAGTATCGAGTCTATTCCCCACCTCCATCGGGAAATAGGGCACTTGTCCATCACAAGCTTCGACTAGTCCAAGGTACAAGCGTCCCTCCTTAGGGACCCTTTGCCCGATGGAGAGACCACCCGCCGTCCCTCGACGCTCACTCGCCAAATGCTAATGCCACAAACCTCTCGTCCTGCCCAATGTGCTCATGGGCGGCCCACAGCGACGGCATGGCCTCCAGCTACTGCGTGGTCCAAACGGCCTAGACGCGGTCCAATCGTCTCCACTGAGCGAGTAATGGGGGGCGGAGAGAGACAGTGCTTCACCTATCCGAGCGAAGACTGGTTCTCGACAAGTCGACCGGCGTCCGTCAGCCGAGTCAAGACACGCTGTCCTGAGACCAGCCAGGTCCACGCGCGAGTCGAGAGAGGCGTCCTGCAGCCGGGACTGGAATGCAAGACGCATAGTCTGGGCACATGGGTGGACACTGGACAGTTCGTATTTCTCGGCTCACGGCGGCTCGGATGCCCATCCGGCGCGTACGTGGCATGAAACAGGCACCGGTTGTTTCATCCATCTCGTTGGGGGCTGTGCCGATCTCGTGTCGGGCGACTTGTTGCTCGAGGCTCCAGTCGACCAGAGGCAAAACCTAAATAGCTCGTGGCTGGACGCGCGGGCGGTGGCAGCTAGCTCCCTTGCTTCACAAAAGCTTCCTTGACAAAGACAAGTCCATTTTCACGTCCCAATCAGGTCCTCCCAATGCCCCAGCACAAGACAAACCAGAGAGACCTACCAAGATGACTCGAGTACCAAAGTAGAAACGGACCTGAAGTGACCACCAGCGATGAGGGGGACATCACGTCATTGTCGCTGGTGCACTCCGCACCAACTCACCATCCACCCCATGTTCTCATCATCGCCTCTACGTGTACGATTCCACGTATCAACTGGTGAACACCCGTAGACCTCACAAAATGGCCACTGTCGACACTTCCCTCCCCGCCGAGCCAACAGGCGCCGCCGCCGCCTTGGCCGAGGCGCACGCCCAACCCCACGCCCTCAAGCTCTACGGCGGCTGGTTCTGCCCCTACGTGCAGCGCGCATGGATCACGCTCGTCGAAAAGGCCATTTCACATCAGTACATTGAGATCAACCCCTACAACAAGGACCCCTCCTTCCTGGCGCTCAATCCACGCGGCCTCGTGCCCACGCTGGCCGTGTCCGTGGGAGACGGCGAGAAGAAGCCACTGTACGAGAGCACGGTCGTCTGCGAGTATCTTGACGAGCAGTTTGATAGTGAGCAGAATGGGGAGCGACTGCTGTCAGGAGGACCATATGAACGCGCGAGGGCACGGCTATGGATCGACCATATCACGGGGAAGATCATCCCTGGGTTCTACAAGCTCCTGCAGCACACGCCAAACAAGGCGTACTCACTCGATGACGCGAGGGCGGAGCTGCACAAAAACATCCGGTCGTTTGTGAATGAGATGGCGACGGAGGGACCCTGGTTCCTGGGGCACACGTTCAGCATGGTGGACATTATGCTCGCGCCCTGGGCCAAGCGACTCTGGCTCATAGACCATTACAAGACGGGGGGCACTGGGGTTCCAGAGAGTGGAGAGGGCGATGAGACCTGGGACAGGTGGAACGCGTGGTTTGACGCCATCGTGGAGCGACCGAGTGTCAAGGCCACGTGGAGCGCGGACGAGAGGTACATGCTTGCCTACAAACGGTATGCAGAAGACACAACCAACTCGGAGGTAGCGCAGGCGACGAGAGAGGGGAGGAGGCTGCCTTGACCAGACTGGAAATTTGCTGAAGTCGGCTTGTAAATGGAATGAGATCAATGATGATATGGTCTAGCGAATTGAATACGTCGAGTCCGTACTGTGCGCACTCAGGACGACTTGACAGTAAAAGTCAATTCGCACTGTCCATATCGCTGTGCTTCCGGCACTGTACAGTGCGCCAAAATTAATACTGCCGCAACTGCACCTTCACTTCTTGTTCCCATCATCCCCGTCACCCGCAAACCATGTCAGACTCGACGCCGCCGCAGAACTCTCGATTCACAGCGCAGGCGACGGCGACGTCGCAGCGCCTCTCCTCCAATACAGTCGGTCTCGTCAGCGCCTCCGACTACCGCAAACGACGCGCCGAACTGCTCGACCAGCAGGACCGCGAGTCGCGCGAAGCCTCAGCAACAGGCACTGGGACGAGCACCGGGGCAGATACCACGCCTGCCGACAGCGAGGCTGATAATGGAAGCGCAGAGCCTGTGAAAAAAAAAGCCAAGAAGAAGAACAAGGGGAAGAAATTGCTCTCTTTCGATGATGATGACGAGGACGACGATGACGGAAAAAGAGACACGCAGGAAGACAGCGGTAAAGATGGCGATGGAGGGGGCAGCGAAAACAAATTCAAAGCCAACGCCTCGGTCAAGCTCGTACCCAAGGCCATGACGAAAGCAGCCCTGCGCAAAGAAGCCACCCAGCGCGAGGCCCTGCGCAAAGAGTTCCTCAGCATCCAGGACGCCGTCAAGAATACGGAGATTGCCATACCCTTTGTCTTCTACGATGGCGCCGACATCCCCGGAGGCACGGTCCGTGTCAAAAAGGGCGACTTTGTGTGGTTCTTTCTGGACAAGAGCCGAAAGGTCGGTGCAGACATGGGCGTCGGCGAAACGGCAAACGCAGCGAGAGCGTGGGCTAGAGTAGGCGTGGACGATCTGATGCTCGTGAGAGGGAGTATCATAATTCCTCATGTAAGTCCCCATTGCACTCTATGGAGGGAACTCTATTGCTGACAGTATGTAGCACTACGACTTTTACTACTTCCTGGTCAACAAGTCCACCGGCCCCGGGGGCCAGCGCATCTTCAGCTACTCCTCCGATGCGCCTCCCACCCCCGTTGCTGCGGCGCCCGCGGCCCCAGAGGGCCTGTCCACTGCGGAGTCGAAAACGGCGGCCATCAAGGCATTGCCTGACGTCAAGACGCTCGAGGGCGCCAACGACGATCCCACGTTGACAAAGGTGGTCGATCGTCGCTGGTATGAGCGCAACAAGCACATCTTTCCCGCCAGCACGTGGCAGGACTTTGACGCGGGCAAGGACTATGCCAAGGAAGTCAGGCGCGATGCGGGCGGGAACACATTCTTCTTCTCGAGGTGAAACGAGGAGATGTGGCGATGGGCGCTCCGTGGTGTCTGTGTGTTTTGTTTGAAGCTTTCTGCATCCTGGCGGCTTCAGCCGACCATCATCCAGACGCCGCCCGCCACCGGGCCCAGCACAAGCCATCCAGGCCAGAAGACCATGAGAAATACCGTCTGCCCTCCTCCGAGGACGAACGTCGCAACCTCGTGGAAAGCCTTCTTCCTCAGCACGCGGCACGTCTGGCTCTCCCACGCGTACCACACCCACGTGGCCGACGTGGACGCGCTGACCTTGGTTGCGAGCCACCCGTTGAGGGTGACCATCTTGCTAGCGTACAGTGTCGTGCAGGCGAGGATGTATGCCTGGACGCAGAGAAAGGTCGATACGGCGTGGATCATGCGCTGGACGTGAAGCGCATTCACAAATGTGGGCGTGAGCGTGCTGAGGAGGGTGTTGGCCGTGCCGAGGGGCAGGTCGGTCTCGCCGTGCGCCGGCGTCAGAAGAGTCACCTGGTCCATTGTGAGAGGATGTGAATCAGGCTGGGACGTTGAGATTCAGCTTTACCCATCTGCGGCGGCAGCGGAAGGTCCTTGAAGTCCTTATATTGGTCCTCTTTCTGTCTAGAGCATCGCAACCCCACCACCACGATCGTCACAAGAACACTTTGCCCCTCCATACATCTGTCGTCGACCCTTACAAGTCGCCCAATGGGACACTGGAACATCAGCAGATGCCATCTACAATGTGATTTCACTGGAATCCCATGTCTGCATGGCCGGATCAGCGAGGCGCGTCGAGTGCTGGCCCGACGTGGATGCACGTGGGGCTGATGATTCGTTCGGCTTGGTGGGGTCGCCGAGATACGGACCCGTGGGGACTTGCTTCCCCTCGCGCCACGTCCTTTTTGCCTGCGACGAATGCATTGCTAGGCGAGTTAGGGCGGCTGCCTCTTCTCCTGGTATGTGTCTAGGCCGGTGGTAGGGTAGATTTGATGGTGATAAGATGCGCGCTTTGCCTGTCTCGAGATCGTATAGTGAGCCAATTGGGTGACCCACGTGTCGGATGCTGCATCGCAAACGCCTGGCTCGTGCGGGAGTTGTCGGTTGTCAGTATCTCGCAGGTGGCTTTGTTCGACGCAGACCGGTGGTCTAGGTCGCGGTTGGCGGCATGTGCTGTCCGATGGATGCTTGCATTCAAAGCCAGTGGCTCATAGCTTCAGAGCTATGCGTTCTTCCGGGGAGGAAAGTAGAGGGTCCTTGCGAGAACTAGATAATCTGTCCTTGGGAGAAGCCAAAGAAGAAGAGAAGCAACGAAGTGGAAAGGTGGAAAGGGCAGAATAGGCAGAACTGGAGGGACTATATTGATCGAACATCAGAGCTTAAATGTGAGCAGACGAAGTACTCATTCGCCAAGTTCCATGGCTTCCCTAATACGTTGCCCCAGAGGCGATTTATCTACTAGTAAGCGTGCTTATCCCGTCCTACAACCATCTAAGTCATGGTACTGACGAGACTACTACGCCCAAGGCGCAAAATTCCGACGTAGGACAAATTGTCAAGAGTTTCTGTCCTGAAGAAATAGAGTTTCATACAACTGAAAGATAATCGACGAGGACAAACTCGCCTATACGAAGCAGGTCATCTCCTCTATAACACAGGTCGTTGCTACAGTGGAGTTTGCAGACTAGGACCCTGCGTGGGATGAGGAGCCTGTTGAGGACTATCTAAGCAAGAACTCATGCACGCCCTTCTGCTCTAGGGCACCCGGAGAGTTCACTGACGTGGGCTTCGCACTCCTGACCGCAGATCCGTGGTATGGCGGCCGCGCACCTCAGTACGACTACAGGGAGCCCATAATATACGTTCTACTCGGCCACTGGGAGCGTGACGACGACGACGACCAAGTTGACAGTAACGAAGATCGAGCTGGCGATGACGACGAGGACGGGCTCCACTTGCTCCTTATCGAGCCAGGTTCTGTGGTGATGAAAGATCACAACAGCTCGCGACAGGCAACCGAAGAAGAGGTACTCAAGTTGGGGTTAGTGGAGTGCGAAAGTCAAGGTTATGCAAAAGAATATGCCAAAGCTGGTCTGCACGGAAACGGGGAGCCAACACCTGCTCACGCTACTGCCAGCATCACACAAGGCTCCATCTCTATGTAGACAATGAACAAGGCGATTGATTAGGAAGCCGCTGGTACACCGAAATCTTCTGCGGCCTTGCTCGGTGGTTATGGCGCTCTTGTGTCACCCAAGACCAGGACAACTACTGAAGCGGTTTTCACCGCTGCGGTCACATACCACCCAATGGTCAGGTGCAGGAGACACGGACATACTAAGAGGAACTAGCATTAGCAACAATATCATGATTAGCACAGTAGATAAGCAAACTCTGAAATTTCAGCTAAAACAGGCTACGTTGGGTGTAATTTAGTGAGCCCTAGTGTCGCAATGACCTCCTGCGTAGCTTGCAGCATCTGGTCCTCGCTGTATTCCATCCATGTCTCCTCATCTTCAACGACCTGTCGATTACGATCACGAGCAGCGGCAAGCTTTTCCGAGACCTTCCAAGCTTCTTCTTCGACTTGGTCAACAAATTTTGCCCAAGCTTCTCTTTGAAAGTTATTAGGATAGCCGAAATATTGACGAAGGATGTTCACAGTAATGAAAGTTTGTGGTTCCTGGGCAACATTAGTTGTATTTCAAGAGCTCCCGCACTCAGACCACCGACATCGTATGTACCAATCATGTTATCCAAACGAAACGGGTATATTTCAAGAGATAACAGATCTTCGTAATAAGCCCGCAGAAGGCTTGGGGCATGGTATCCAGCATGGTTGCGGTAGTGATCTACGTGCTCTGGAACTTCCAAAGGCCCTTCGCTCAGTAATGAGGACAGCTCGCACCAGTCCGCCATCAAGCGAATACTATCTATTTCTCTTATTAGCGTATAGATATGTAGCCATGGAAAGACTTACTGGCTTCCGTATCTAAGATGATGTGCTGAAAGCTATTGTCGGGGAAAGCCAACGCAATGTCCATCGATCTCATGTATTCAACATTGGGCCCAGAAGAACGCTCGGCTCCCAAGGCATCCGTTGTTTTCCAACTTATCGAGCTGGGATCCCTTGCCCCCAGCGCCTTCTTGTTATCGCGGTAGTCGACCATCCGCGCACTCGGATACCAAATAGTCTCGCCATGATGGATTTCGTCAACATACGGTAATCGCTCGATCAGTGAAATAACGCGAGGCGCCAAACGTAGCTCATCTCTTAGATACGCTACATCGAGAAGATGACGTCCTGTTTCTACAGGGGGGAAAATGACGCGCTCGGGATGAATGTAGAAGAGGTTTATGAAGTGATTGTATATGTCGTTGAATACACTCACAAGAGTCTCCTCTCGGTACGACAGCGGCGAGTCATCTGCTGGTGGTACGGTCATTCAGGGAGCACCCCTATACTGCACCAGCTGCGACTCATTTTCAGGTGGAGCTGCGCACATATCCATTGAATTGGCTATTACAGGGGTGTTGTGGAAACAGCAACATGAATTCGTGTTGATACTATTGCTGTTGTCTTCTACTGGAGAAGCATGGTCATGCGACGCGCCTTGCAGCCCAGTTCCGTTGCGCGTGGGGGATCAGAGTAACGGGTTAAGCGATACGCCACGAGACAAGGATAAGGCTTGAGCTGGGTTATAAGGATATGCTGGTATGTGGGATAGTTGGCGAGGTTGATGACTTGAAACTTAGCATCTTCATCAACAGACTCTAGCAGCTTGCAGCACGATGAGTACTGTGACTATATTATACTCTCGAGTCCTGCTGCACATAGTCGGGCGCGAATCACACTCACGCTGGTTCCGTGCCGCATGGAGAGACCAAAGCAGTGTCGTACCGAATCCAGAGGCAATAATATAGAGCATATAGTTATGCCAAATACATCATCGGCCTATACGTTGCGTCACCCTGTCTGCAACATACCACAACTTCGATAACCCTTTGCACGCAGCCAAGCTACCCTCAACTCAATCGCCATACTATGATAGTCTTGGTGCAGGACTTCGTGATGCAGCAGGTCAGGCGCAAAATTGCTCTGCTGTGATTCTGGACAAAAACTCGGGCATTGGGACAGTCATTTTCTACTCTGCGCAGAGTCACAGGGTCATATTGATTTGAAAAGCAGTTACCACACAAGAGACTGTTCAGATCGCAATGGTAGTTGAGGGCCTATAAGAGGTAGTAATTTCATGAGCTATATTAGAGCATAGGCACATAAGAAAGTCGTGAGCTATTTTATGTATCGTCAAGTACAGGGTGATAATCAGAGGAAAATGTAAGGTATATATAAAAGGTATATTATTCGACTTATTACACAACTATACGCGCCTGTTATATATACTGTAGCTTTTCCTCTAATTATAACCCCGTACCTAACGATATATAAAAGATAGTTTACGACTTTACTATAAGCCTACGTTCTACGTATAGCTTATTAGATTACCACGTCCCCGTGCGCCCTTGGACTAATCTAAAGCTTGGTTAATTACATCCGATTGCGGCAGACCGACGTAACCTACATTAATCCGCTAATTCGAGTGCCCGAACATTTTGCGGTAATCATCTTCTCCTAGAACGAATATCAGTCGACGAACGTACCCACATCCAGCCCGTCACGCCTGTGGACTCGATCCCGATGATGTGGTGTCAACGGGTGGCGTTCTCCGTTGCCCCGTGCACTTGTAGAGTCATGAAACTTTTTCGCCCGGAGTTCCGGGTGCAGGCGAGGAATATATTTGCAATTACACGAAACTGCTAATTAACGTCGACTGAAGCTCATAGCCACATGCAGTACTAATAACTACCACGAACACATCAGGGACATGCTTGACTCGCGAAATGTAAGACCCGGCTTTGAAAACCTGCATCAACAGTCACTTAACTCATCATGCCAATGCTGCTCATTTACGGAGCGACAGGTTACACTGGTCGTCTGGCTAGCCGACATGCCAAACAGCTCAGCCTGGACTTCACAATTGCTGGTCGCACAAGCAGCATCAAGACACGGGAGTTTGCCTCTGAGCTTGACGTCTCCTATCGCTTATTTGACGCTGACCAGTCCGATGATATTGACGCCTCTCTGGACGGAATATCTGTCCTACTCAACTGCGCGGGCCCCTTTTTTCGAACTGCCGGACCACTGATATCCGCCTGCATGCGAAACGGTGTGCACTACTTGGACATTGCCGCGGAACTCGACAGCTATAGATTAGCGGAGAGACATGACGGCGAGGCGAAAACTGTCGGGGTGATGCTTCTACCCGGATGCGGTGGTAGCGTGGCCATGTTGGGTTGCTTAGCCGCCCACGCCCTCGACCACGTCAAAAAACCAACACGCATCGATATCTCCATCTGCGTCACTGGTGCCATATCACGCGGCTCGGCCATCAGTGCTTCCGAAAACATGACGGCCGAATGTCTTCAGCGCCTAGATGGGGAGCTGGTCAAGGCTGAGACAAGCAACACCATACAACTCGACTTTGACAACAGCCACGGCAATGTGACAAACTATCCTGTGACTCTTCCGGACCTCATCACAATTTGGAAGTCAACCGGCGTTCGAAACATTCGCACATTCATCCACGTTGCTGGCGAAGCCTTCTCTCGTGGTGATTTGTCCAAGCTGCCAGACGGTCCGACGCAGAAGCAAAGAGAGGAAACGCCATACCATGCTGCTGTGGAAGTTGTGGGCGAGAATGAGACGGTTGCAAGAGCGGTTCTGCACACGGTGAATGGGTATACATTTACAGGTGTGGCGTCGGTCGAGGCCGCAAAGAGAGTGCTGGCCGGGTCGGCCAAGGCTGGCTTCCAAACGCCTGCTGACATTTTCGGAAAGAATTTCCTCGACGCGATTCCAGGTACACAGATTAAAGACATGTAATTACGGATTAGACAGTTCTCAGTTCTCCCTTGGTGGCCAACGTGAATCACAATATGAGCCGGCAGCTTGATCTTCTCAAGTCTGCACGTCATAGCTGAAAGGAGAGGGGAGCAAATCGCCGATGTACTTACATGCATTGAAGTGTCTCAACGGACTAATGTGCAGTTGTCATTAGGGACCACAGAGGACAATACACTTTCAATTGTTAAATGAAATGTGTGGTCAATTTCCACGAGTCCGGTGCACAGGACAATTCATAAGTTTATCTTGCGCTTCCACTGTCACTGTCCTTGGAAATTGCTTTGTAGAACCCATTTAGCGCATGATTGACACAATGAACAAACAATCTTCAGATCCAATGCACCCATCACCGTCCGCTTGTGAATCATAGGTCCATCTATGAGGGTTGGATCATTTCGTTGTCGTGAATCGTGCCTCGCCTCAATGACCACGCAGGTACTAGGGCAGACCCGCAGTTCATTCATGAGCGGCGGAGCTCGGAGCTCCGGTGTGCGCTCGAATGCAGCATGCGGGTGCCAGTCTGAACTGCGGCCATAGTTTGTCATACAAACTTTCTTTTGTGTTTGTAATGTGCTTTGGGGGCCTTCGTTGCATAAGCAGATAATTTGCCAATAGTTACGGCCTTCCGAGCAGATTTGTCATGAGAAAACGCCTACGGGACATGCGACCAACACATCCGTTCAGTATATATGAAGTTGAATATATGAAGGACAATCCAAAGATACGAATGAAATATCGGTCAACTCTACTCGCAAACTCCAACTCTACTCATCCAGGCCTGGTCGTCTACTGCATCGCTATGCCTAGCTATCTTGTTACGGGAGCGGGAAGAGGACTGGGCGTACGTACGACTCTCGTCATGAAAGACACAGTCACACTAAGCTTGCTTTAGTATGCAATCGTCGAGGCTCTTGCTTCCCATCCGTCCAATGTCGTCTTGGCTGTGACGAGAGACAAGGACGCCATGGAGGCGTGCTTGTCCCGAGACAATGTCGCTGGCGTTCACGTGCTAGCCGCGGACATTGCCGATTACACCGCGCTACAAACCGCCGCAAACCAAGCGAACGCCATCCTTGGAGATTCTGGCCTCGACGTGCTCATCAACAACGCGGCTTATGTGAGCCAGGCCACAGCACTGACCTCACCTTGCGACTAGTATGGCCTCCCTCCTGTCTTTATCCTCCACAGGCTCTATGCTAATATCTGAGTGCAGCGAGAATGAACTCGAGATCTTCATCGAAGACATTCAGAAAAGCATTGAAATCAATGTCCTGGGGTCGCTCAAAGCCACTTGGGCGTTTCTGGACTTGGTCAAGAAGGGCTCAATGAAGAAGGTTGTAGCAATTTCCAGCGGGATGAGCGATACCGGTCAGTATTCGGTCAGGCTTTTTGCAAGCGGTTATGGCTGACTGCGTTGAACAAGAAATGATCAACGGGTATCATATATCCAACGCGGCCCCGTATGCGATCAGCAAAGGCGCGCTCAACGTCATGGTCTCCAAGCTCCATGCGTCTTACGCCGACCAGGGCATCGTCTTCATGGGTATCTGTCCAGGTCTTGTGGACACTGCTAAAGGTCCACCACCACAATGTTCGTGCTAAGCCCTGGCTTCATCCCGGCCCCCTCCGCACACAAGCACACGCATGTGCTGACTCTGAGCCCTACAGTATCCCAGGATGACGTCAATCGGTTCCAAGGCATCACATCAAAGTTCGAAAGGTACGTAGGTGGCAAGTACGCTGCTATGCAGCCGGATGAAGCGGCGGGCAAGGTATTAGCGGCTATCAGCCGACAGACGCTGGCGGGCGGGTTCGGCGGAACGCTTCGCAGCCACAACGGTACAACCAAATGGATGTAGAATACATTATATGGTGCGCCGCCACGAGATATCTATAAAAAGCTGATTGGAAAGTTGGTTAAAGTACTGTCGAGCTGTCGCCGAGGGAAAACACCACTCGTCTCCCATGCCCCCAAGTCTATCCCATAGTCGGGATACAACCTGCGAGAACCTTCTGGCCACCCATCTCGCACGCTACATCTAGGGGGCCGTTGCGGCCACTGATGCCTCTGATGGTGTCTTGAGGCATCTCGAATTTGCCTCATGATGACAAATCGCTCTGTACTTGACCACTTGCGTTGTTAAGCATCTGGTAAACAGGTCCCAACTTAAGCTCCAGCTCAGCACTGTGTCCACATTGCTCTTGCCGCCTGTGCGTCAACTATATATAGGAGACCTGCGCAGCTCGCATCTCTTTGAGATCATCGACTTTCACGACCTCAGGTGCGCCGTCTCCTTAACCTTGCGCCGCCATGCCCTTCTCCCACATCAGTCTGCCGGTGGGTCGCCACTATGCTGTGATGCGAGACTTCTACATGGCAAGCCTGAAGCCCCTTGGCTACGAAATCTTGGTTAGCGGAGGACAGGAAGAAGAATTCGCTGGGCTGGGCACTCCGTCTACCGGACCTCACTTTTGGCTCGGCCTCGGCGCGAGCAGCAAGTCGCTGCCCCGATACGACGGCAAATTGGAGAACCGCATCGCCCCAATACACCTCGCATTCAACGCAGCGAGCATGGAACAGGTGGATCAATGGTACTTTGAGGCTTTGTACGTATATTTTTCACCTCCACGCGTGGTTGAAGATTGTTTTTGCTAATCATCATGGGATTCCAGAAGAGTAGGTGGCATTGATAACGGAAAGCCTGGACGGCGTCAGTACACTGTGGCATTCTATGCAGCCTTCGTGCTAGACCCTCTCGGAAACAATATCGAGGTGCTATATGGCCCATTACAAGAATGATACGGCCTTGACACCGGGGCGTATTGCCGTGGTTGTGTCCGAATGACACGTGAATATTGATCTATACACATGGAAAGGCTTGAGCTTTGTCCGATCTACCTGGACAGAAAAGTAAAGACTAGATAATCACTTTATCTTCTACGCACTATCTGTCCTCAACGTCGGGTCAGCTTGTGAGGATTTGATTCCCTGCCCAACTGCTGTTCTTCAAGCCCCTCCTCTCGTATCACCGCTCTCGCCCGGAACTCCGAGCTCCGGCTGCACTGTGCTGAGTTTCCCCGCTGACCCCCTACTGCTTGAAGCCTAGTGCGGAGCTACCAGTTCCTCCGCTGGATATAGCTCAGCTAGGCTGAGCTGAGCCACCACCCAGTGCAACCAGCACCTGCGCACATCAATTGAACTCGGGAAGCCGCCGACTTCAAGCAGCATCGCCCGAAACATTGGTACTGTTAATGGCACAGCGATGCCTCTGCCGGGGAACGCACTGATCTGTCAGACGTGCAGCCGGAGATTTGAGCACAGTGAGCAGCTTCCATTCCACGCGCGCAGCCAGGCGAACATGTACTTGAGCGGGTGAAAGGGACAGTCGAGCTGACATGAGAGCGCATGTTCCTCACTGCTGCGCCATACGAAGAGGTGTCCTCACCACATCGCCCGGCCATCTCGACAAAAGGCGTGTCGGAGCTGCTCGAAGGCCAAAGCACGCTGCGACCTGCAGAGGCCCGTCTGCGGTAGATGCCGTAGTCGGCAGCTTGTCTGCTCCTCTGCGGCAAAAGGAGAGGCGTCCACGTCTATTGTGGCTTCCTCTACACTTTCAGACAGCCCTCAGTTTGCGGACCCGAGCCAGTCTGGAAACGGCAGCCTGCTGAGCGTCGAAAGTCCAAGCACAACCCCGCCACCCTCCTGTGGCACATCAGCTGATGTCCATGGTCATCGGTCATCTCCGGACGTTCATCGCCAGCCCTTGACGGCAGTGGCCACCCCTGTCTTGGCCATATCTGACGAGCGGCGCGAGGTGCTGCTTAGCAGTGCGCCCCGAGCCCCGGAATTCATCGGCGAGCGGGCCGAGGTGCATATCATGCATCTTATCATTCGCGTCCTGCTCTCCTGGCCGCGCCGCATGGCCATCTGTCGCACAAGACGGCTCCCCCCTTTCATACACAGGGTGCAATTTGAGCACGGCATCCCGCTCGCCTTGGCAAACTGCTACACTATTGTCCAGATGTGGGCGGACCACACAGATGGCAGCACGTGGCTCGTTCAGGACACCATCCACAGAGAGATTCAAAGGGTGCTACATGTAGAAGAGGTGCGTGATTTTCTTCCGTTTGACCTATTTCCCCAGACTCGACAAATCAAGGTTGAATGTGAGCTGAGACAGGATATTGAATGTAGGAGCTTGAGTTTGTGGACGATGAACACTTCGTCCTGTCAAAGGCACAGTCATTGCTCGTTCTTGTGATCCTTCTTTTCTTTGCTTTCCGAGAACAACCACAAATCGCTAAACGGTCCGAGGCAAGACTCCTCATCAAGGTGTGGGAGATTAAGAACCGCCTCGCAGTGACAGGCCTGTACATGGACGAGGAGCTCGTCTCTGCCCTCCCAGATTGGAGAAGATGGGCTCTTGTTTCCGCTAAGCGCAGGACTATCTTGGCTTTCCATCACCTCGAATACGCCTGGTCCCTCTTGAACGGCTACCCTCCCTTGACGTGCTCCGAGCTTGGTCCTCTGCCCGCACCTAGCCCAGGACACCTTTGGCAAGAAACAGATGAGCGTACTTGGAGTATACTGTACGATGAGTGGTTGCGCCAATGGACTGATGGCATCTATAAAATGCACGAATTCTTTGCGATATCCCGCGGCCGCCCTTTGGACAGGAGATCTGAGATGTGGCTTGCGGAAGCAGACGACTATGGCATGATGCTGATGGCTGAAGGTGAGCTCGTCCTACTGTTGTCCGATTGACGAAGCTGACATGTAATATAGTGAACGCCATACGCGGGGGTCCTTAGCCATTTAGTGGCAGCAATCTGAGCTTTGCAATAGAATCGGAGTATTCATCTGGGCGGGTTAGAAATGAAATCGGAATCTGCGCGCTTAGACAGCTTCTTGCCGTGCGCCCTTTGGTACAACGAGCATTGAAACGCTAGATGTAACAGATACTGTCGATCAACTCGTGCTGCTCTTGATATTGTCCTTGAGCTGTAGGTACTGCGTGATCATCTCCCTCATAGTATCCTCAAAACTCGTCATCCTCCATCCAAAGGCCCCTTCTTTCTCTGTGGCATCCAATCGCCATTCGATAGTCTCCAGCGTTCCTTCGAGGGGAAGCGCCTTGCTTTGCACTTGCTTGGGAAAGTGTTTTCTCGCAACAGCCTTCGTGTCTCTATCCCAGATCACACCGTCCGGGGTATCTGAGCTAAGGATGTATTCGCGGTTTCCAGCAACCAAGGCGCGGTCAACAGCATCGACATGTGCTCGAGCGACGTCTCGAACATGCACCGGTACGCCCACAAACGGGAACACCGATTTCAGGGACGGGTCTAACGCTGACGCCATAACTGCTCCGCGAGCCTCTACGGTCAGCTCTCCCGGCTTGCCGTCTATAGCGATGCGCGTATCTGGACCGATGACTACAGACGGAAGGAGGCTCACAATATCGAACCCAGGTTTCTCGTCTTTCACAAAGTCGCGAGTGGCCATGCGGGCGAGTGCCTTGGACGCCCAGTAGGCCTCCATGGGGCTATTGTAGGGCTTTGTTGGGCTCGAATTGATATCTTGCACTGTCACATGTCAATTTTGATTCCCTGTTTAGGATCTCACATACCTGTGTATAGTCTTTCGCTGTCAGGTTTGAAATTCCACTCAAATGGAATCAGCGTCACACATGAGGAGGTCACGACGACCCGTTGGACAGAGACAGAGTGAGCAGCGGCCTCGAGGATCATTTGCACCATGTCTACTGCTGGCTCGATGATATCGCGCTCATAGTCTTCGGCCTAGAGTCCCAGCGGTTAGTCCTGCCATTCCTTGGATATATTGAGCTGACACATACGTGGAGAGCCAGTGGGGACGCGAGATGCACAACAACAGTGATCCCATGGAGGTGCTTCGAAATTTCCCCTTTTTTGAGGAAATCAGGTATGATGGCAAACTCCAGCGCTCCATCTGCATGGGACTGGGCGATCAACTTGCTCTTATTCCGTAGACTGGCGATGCTTTCCTCGTTTCGTATCGCGCCACGTACGCGGTAGCCTCGTTCCAGGGCGATGATCAGGGTCTGGAACCCAATGTAACCCGTAATTCCAGTGATCTGGAAATTTCCGATTCAGCTTTACTTGAAGGGTACTATTGCTTGCATGTGCAAATTCTCACCAACAGTTTTGCGCCAGCAGCCATCTTAGCGTTATTCGGGCTCATGGAATGAGTGCAGTGAGATCTTCACGTTAAATGGTTGGCCAAACTGCAGGAGGCGAGCAGAGGCAGAGGGCCTGACTGCTATATATAGTCGAGGCATTGAGCGTAATGGCCCGCACCCGCATAATGCTCGGCCAAGTGATAGTCGCAGGACGCACAATGGCGGAAACGAACGGCCGTGCCTAAGCCCGACAACGCCACAACTCGGAATTCCGGGCATCGTACATGTCTGCTAGCGAGAGGGTCTTTCCGTCAAATGCGCGATGCTGGCTTTATGGCAGGATGAGTGGGCCTTGACGATGTTGCCTCTGAGCAATTTTCTATCGGCCAACGTTATTGACAGGGCCTTTGCAAATGAGCGTAGAAGTACTCAAGCCTAGGTGAACTATACACTCAGAGCCCAGTAGCTGTTAAAGGCCAATATACGCAGTGTGAACGGTACCCGACCGTTGTAGAATGACTGATTCTTAAATACGTTTGACACATTCTTGCGAACGTGATTGTTCCAACCGTATTGCCAACACCTTTGCAACCAACGCCCAGCAGAATGACATTGAGTGTCAATTTTGGCGCCTGTGACCTGTGCCAAATGTAGCTGACATCTTTCTGCCCACGATATCTTAGCTAGTTTAACCTCTTACTAGCACGATTGTCGGACGTAGAAGTATTGTAGGAAGCCTAGTGCGGATGTTGCAATTGCAGGGTAAGCGGCAGGAGGAGCTTGCTCCCGGATGGTAGCTGTAGGCCGGCCAGCACATGAACCGCCCCAGGCTGTCGTTCACCCGCCGCTGATTGCCCTGTATATCAAACACGCCGTGTTTGAGACAGACCTGCGTTGTCGTCGAAGGATCACCAGCCCCCCGAGAATCCGTCAACGCCGTCCTGACCGCCTCGAAAGTGGCAAGTGTCCTCCCCATGGCATTCATTAAGACGGTCTGCCGAATCGAGGCGTGTGCTGCAGCGCGCTTCGGGGTCTTTTTGGCTTCCCTGGCCATGTGATCGCTGATCCTGGGCGCGTGCCATGTCGGCAGGTGACCGCTGCTCGGCAGCGACTGAAAGCATGGGCCCGCGTCGGGGTCGTCTGCTGGGTCCGACACGAGCGCCATGTCGTTGACGGCCCACGACTCTGCGCGCCGCGGGCCCCGCGACACCTTGGTCCAGCTGTGGAGGCGGTGGCAACGACGCGGCCGATGGCGCCGTAGAGTAGGATGCACGAGTGCGTCCGGACCGGAGAGAGGAACCTCTTAGCCGTCCGCGTCCACCAGTTGCCGTTCTCGCCACGGTCGCAACCCTACTCCTGGCGCAGGACGTGATCCGCCTCTAACGCCGTCAGCTTGCCTTCTGCGACGAAGACGGTGCCGATCTGTCGCTGTGACATGTCCAGCGGGCAGTTCTGGAACGGAAGAGCGAGGGGCTCAATCACTCTGACGGGCAGTATGCTGCTACGGTCGTCGGCACAGTAGATGGACTGTGTATGCTATAGCAGGCGGCGGTGGGGACGAAGGCTTGAGCTCACAAGTACGCCCTGTGTACCACCTAGTAGAGAGGTAGCGTAAGATATAGACAGAGAGTTAGCAAGCAGCGAGGACTGAGGGATAGAATCCAGGATTGTTGCGGCAGGCGCCCTTCACCGGTCGCTGGAGCATCCACACATGGATGACGTGGGCGCGGTATAGGTACGTATTACCACAGCGATACAGCAAGTAATGATTGCTCCTCTGCATAAGTATGCACATGTAAGCGAGCACACTCTCCATACTGATGTATCTCTCTGCATCGGGGCTGGGCGGTTGCAGGGTCGACGGGCGTCCGGGCTTAAGTTACAAGTTGTGCGCCGATGCGGGGAACCATACGAGTTGTGCAGTCTACATGGATGTCACCTACATGTACGAATATATTGTCGCAATCGATTGCATCTCACTAGCAAAGCCGCGCACGCGCGGGAGTATGCATCGTCAGTGGGCTGTGCATGCTGCTAAGATGGGATGGATCAACCAACCCTCACCTTGGGCTGACAGCACCTGCCGTCACCATGGAATGGAGGTAAGTGGGAGGGAGTTACGACCTTGAGCTTGCTCCTGCCACAGTCAGAGGAACCCCCGAACCACTTGAATATCGCTGCTGTTCTCTGAGGCTTGCTCAACTCGAGAGCATAGAAGCATTCGGATTGACTTCACTATCGAGGAAGACTTTGTTGCCCCTAGATACAACCACAAAACTCCATTGCTTACCAGCCAGTGTTTGGTTCTGGACAAGGTGCGCTACCTCCAGTCCACATTGAGCGACGCGTTTGCGGCGACCAAGGAGGCGACCACAGACCTAGCAATCTCCGTTGAGGAAGAAGTGAAGATCGCAGTCGGCGAAACCGACTATATTCTCGTACCCACTATATCTTTTGTCGATTTTAACGGCGATCCGTCCGCTCTTGTCCTCTTTATCGTTTTCCCAATCAGACAAGACGAGATTATCTCCCACGACCGGCTGCGTCGCTTCCGCACAAGCAAGCTGGAACAGAACGATGCCTTTCAGCCTGTCTTCTGCTCCAATGTCTTCTTTTTTACGGAAGCGCCGCAGACCAGTTCCAGGTCCATTCCGACGTCTCCCACGAGCTCAAGCTCTGGGACACCACCAACTGGACTTTTGTCGCGGGTGACATGTCACCCAGCGTAGCCCCTGGGCCCTATGTTTTCGTCAAATCGCGTGTCTGGCAGCCATGAAGGGTCTAACGTAACTTCAACGCCACCTTCATGTGCACTCTTGATCCATCTTCAGCAAAACCTGGTGGATAAGTCTACCACCTCTATGCTGTGTCAGGCTCCAAACTGATATTATCGTACTCTGGCCAGACTTGACCGGCCTTGATAGGCGAGTTATCGTTCTGTCACGCTGCTACTACAAACCATCTGCGGCTCACCCACTTGAAGTTGTCAGAATCGGCGTCAAAGACAGCATTCGACACTGCCGGCCACAGGACCACTCTCAACAATCGAGCTTGGCGACAGCTGTATCCGCCAGCAACCAAGCATGCCCATTGCGTTCAGCTGCTTTTAGGGGCTGGCGTCATTATTGTTGGCAAACTCAAGCTACATGTTTCGATTGCAGGCGAGGAGTCCGTCGAAGCAGTCGAGTTTACCGATCCTTTCAATCCACGCGGTGACGGCTACCAAGTGACGTCTGGTAGCAGCAGTGGAAATGCCGCAGCAGTTGGCTCATATAAGTGGCTTGACTTCTCAATTGGCTTCGATGGGTTGTGTTCAGGGACATTTACCCAGGCTCACGTTACATGCTCACCTAACCAGCAAATAGAAGTGTACGCAAGCCTGCCCACCACAACGGGTGCCACACCATTCGACCGACAGCAGGCATCATAAGTAACGAGGGTGCTGTTAGGAAATTACCAAGAGTTTCACTTCGTACCCTACTCCGTCTGCACGCGTTGTCGGATCGGTAACGTCCTGCTCTCTGTTCTGTCAAGTTTGAATACTAATAAGCGTGTGATTGACCTTGCCATTCTAGGTAATCCGATATACCCGGGTTCTTTTGGCGTGGCCTCTCCAAGTTTCCAGAGTTCATGTCTGTAGTATGGAGATTCTCCACGCCTGCTTCCACCACCCAAGGATGAGTATGCCCACTCATCATGATCCATCCGCTAAAATATCGTTAGGTCCCAGTCAAAATCTTATACCCTCGCGATTACCTGCCGACTCCTAACCAAGATAAAACCAAAGTTATTAATCGTTTTGTTACCGGCCTCGAAGCTGCTTTAGGAGTGATACGTGCTGCTATATCCATTGCCGAACGATAGTCCAGACGGGCAGGAACACGACGACATCTCAAAGTACCCTAAGACTGTATGAAATTCAGACTATCCACAGTGTTCTATTACTGAAAGAAAAACAGGTGGGCATAAATCCTTTTTCTACGACCCATAGCATGCCTTGGAACCTTTCAGAAATAAGTACCAGGAGAAATATGGAAAAGGCTACTTTATACACCGATATGTCCACTAGCAATGGCGAGTGAAGCATATTCTCTTATGGTCAAAGAAAGGAATACAGGTGACACGACTGATATATTTCAAGGGACGTATAGCGAGGTATTTCCCAGGAAGAGAGGGATAAATATTAGCCACGCTGCCGAGGTTATCGACAGTGGCCTCTTAACAGGATTTTTAAAGTCAACGACAGGGACAGCTTGTATATCATAGCTTTACTGATCGAAGTGGGCGAACCAAACTATCGGGACTCCACAGTGTCGTAAATTTATCCTCTTCAGTGCCTGTGTTCGCAAGCAGATGTCATATTGATTTTTCCATTGGACACAGGCCCTACGGTCTTTTTAATAGCTTTCCATTGCTAAACATGTCGCCTATTATGCAAGCGCCGGGGAATATAGCAATCGGTATACAACTAGCAACACTCAATCATAGGACAGGACTGACATTGCATCTTAGTCGGCCAGATATGCTTCGACTCAGTCGTAACACAGAGAACGGAGCCATACCCCGTTGCAGCGTCCTTCATTAGACCGCCAGGTAAAGGATCATTACTCAAGCCCATCCAGAGTCAAACTATTGACACTCTTCGTTCCAGGCGCGGGCTTCATCGTCACGGAGTTAACTATCAAGTGACTAGAGGCTGCAGGGCTACCTATCAAAGTCAAGACAGGGCCAGGAGTGTATTGAGTGTGGTGAATAATCTGGTAAAACTAGGAATAGTCGAGAAATTTCAGCTGGCGTTCCTCATCAGTCATTTGGACAAAATAACCGACCTCTCTCTCCTTGACGTCCATGTAGTGCTTGGTCAGCGTTGAGCCAATGGAGCATCTCAGCATGCGATCAGTGATACCAAATGGCAGCAGCTGCTTCTCTGTTTCCTCTGAGGTGAGCGCTGACGGCACCACTTGGCAGTCCGTATGGACTAGCGCTGCCTCGTCTTTGATTCCTGCGGTACCAGCGTAGATGAGTGCAGCAGCAAAGAGGTACACGTTTGCCGTGGTATCCAAGGACCTGAACTCCCAGTGGTTGGGAGCCACGCCGCGCACAGGGAGGTCTTCGTTGCCCGTTCCCCATCCAATCCATTCACCCGCGCAATCACCGGAAACTCGACAGTAGCTGTCAAAGTTTGCGAGTCCGAATACGCAAAGCGCTTTCAAGCGTTGCATCACAACAGCCAGGAAGGAAGACGCCGTGGGGTGAGAGGGGATCATTGAGAAATGGAGGTGACACCCAGATCGAGGGCCTGAAAGGACAGGTTTTGGGGGTCATGGTGATCTTCCGGCCATGGCGAAGTTCTCGCTGCGCATGCCTTCCGTCATGGAACAGCCAACCGTCCGATCAGCAGATCGGGCTAGAAGACAGAACGGCCCCAAGATCACGTATTCAATTTCGAACCCCCATAAGCAGCTGCGAGCCTGGTAGGGTGTCGGTCGAAGCATCCATGGCATTGCGCAGCCACGACCTCGGACATCTCTCTAGAAAGTCTGAAGCGCCTGCGAGCGCGGTGTAGCACATGACAGTTGCATGCGTTTGTGCAAAGCCGTAGACCATCAGGGAGTCCCAGTCGGGTACCAAGTACCACTCTGCTATTCCCGCTGGCCAGCAGCGCGGGGCTGTGGAAATTGGAATGATGATGCAGTTTTGGGCAAGTGAGCAACGATCATCGCCGCTTGCCATCTTCTTGCATCGAGCTTGGGTGACCACCCGGACGCGCAGCACTCCGGAGAAGTCGACCCATTGGAGTCGAACAAACTTGATGCCGGGGTTGTCTTGAAAGAATTGTGTTGCCATCATGGCAACGTGTCCGCCAGGATCTGCATTTAGCTTGGCACAGCAAACAAAGAGCAAAGTGCTAACGTGTTTGTGAACAGGAGCAAGCCTGACGTAGTTTGTGAGTGCTTTCAGATCTGGGCATTGCCAGAATAGCGCGAGGACATCAGGAGCAAGTCGAGCTCGACAATCGCTTCATGTCACCCATGCAAGCGGTGTTTCTCACCGGTCTAATGCATGGACTTAACCCGAAGCACTGTTTTGGCAGGGCGTGCTTCTCAATAGCTAGTCCAGACCCGAACGTCACACATCGGTGTTGTGGTGTGGATACCACGTGTCGCGTATCTGTTGGTCGAAACTTCGCCAACTACCTTGTCCGTGAGCACTGTAAGTCCATTTGGTCCCCATCACGGTTGATTTGGCGTAATATCACAGCTCGGCCGCTCAGCGGCGATATTGGCAGACTACCCTATACTAGCTACGCGGGGGGATCGCGCACCGACCTACGCGCATCCCCTTTTCCTAGCCAGCCAAGTAGCAGCTTCGAGAAACGTGCTTATCTGTAGCAATAGATCCGGATACAATCCCCGCCCTGTTCAGACGGACGGCCGTGACACAGCTACTATATGTGAACAGGGCGAAGTGGGGCGTTGCAGTTCATCTTCAGCTCTTCGGCTGTTTGACGAACCCCGCTCGCCTGGCATGGGTTGTACGCATGTAGAATGACCGCGGCTAAGACCGATTAGGAAAACAACAATTGAGTTCAGATCAGACGAGCTATGACATTAACTTTAATACATTCCCATCTCCAATAGCTCGTCTAAATGGCATTGGGATATTCCACTTTAACCAGCATCGTTCGAATACGACATTCGAACGGGGCCTTGTCCAGCCTATGGATTTCCTCGGGCGCGTTCTTGATGGGATGCGTTATGCACGCTGGATGCGCAATATGGACATGCAGATGGTTATGCGTGTTGCATAACTATTAGTGACCGTCAGCTCGGCAGCACAGGCTCACCACCAATGGCGGGCCAAAATAGGCGCCTGCAGGCGCTGAGGCACTCGAACGCATGTGATGTCGCTCACAGTTACTGCCGCCCTTGCTCAAGGCCGACCTGACAAGGCTGTCTTCGTCTGGCAACAGGATCCTAAAATTATGCCATATAGTTTGCCTCTGACCACGGCTTTCTGTTTGCTAGCGCTTAGCTTTGAAATTCCGCTCAATCGACGGGCGCACTACGACCACCGACGAGGAACACATAACCCCGACGAGCCTCGCGACTCGGAACGACACGACACTTTTACCGCCGCCAGTCCCCTTTTTGTTGCCTACTCAACACTGATCTCTACTTCACAGCTTTGAACCTCACCCGCTATGCAGGATAGGCAGTATAATAAGAACGACTATACGGTAGGCTGGGTATGTGCTCTCCCGTTGGAGATGGCTGGCGCCAAGGCAATGCTCGACGAGATCCACCCAAACCTATCCGAGCAAGCGCCGGCCGACCACAACAGCTATCTCTTTGGCCGGGTCCAGGGACATAATATTGTGATCGCCTGCCTACCCGCGGGAGTCTATGGGACGACACCTGCTGCTACAGTCGCTAAGGACATGCTGCGGACCTTTGAATCGATTCGTTTCGGTTTATTGGTTGGCATCGGCGGCGGTGCACCGTCGTCACGCCATGATATCCGGCTTGGCGACGTCGTTGTCAGCCAGCCGTCCGGGACGACTGGAGGCGTGATCCAATATGACCGAGGAAAGGATAGTCGGGATAGCGTGTTTTATCAAACAGGCCAAAAGGAATTCCGCTTGTGCTCTGAATGTGGCTAATTGGCGTACATACGCAACACTACCCCCCA